CGTTTCCGTCACCTCATCATGGTCTTTCACTTTTTCACCTTCATCACCTTCAGAGTCTTCTGTTTTTTCTCCCCCTGAAGGGAGTACTCTTTTTCATCAAGTCCCTCCCCCCAACATGCATCCACAGTTTCCATTGGTTGCGGAGCATCGGAAGACACATCGCCAGCAACAAGTGGCTTTTCAGCAGCTGACGTTTCGTCCCCCGGAGGAGAGTCAAACACTGGAACAAGGGCTGTGGCAACCAAACCATATCTCACAACCCTTTTGGTAGCAAGGTCACGTGCTTTGGGGAGGTTCACCAAATCAACAGACATGGTCCAAGCAGAACTCCCAGCATGTTCCCTACGTCGGTGTGGTTTTGACCCAGCCATGTTAAGTATACATGTCCTACAATCCCGTCGGTATGGTTGATGTCCTTGGTTGATATGTTGTTTCCATTGATCCAACCCCAAACTTTTGGACAATTTTGGTGGTGAGATCCCATACCATTCAACCAAAACCAACAAAGACGTTTTGATGGCAGCCCTCAACCCTGGTGCCCAAAGTGACCAAGAGGCAGTTTGGTTCAACCTTTCATCCAAGTTCACCGCCAAGTGTCGTTCACGTTCACCAGAGCGACAGCCATCTAGTTCTTTCATGTCAGGGAGGTTGGTCATACATGTTGTGGGTTTTTTCCGAGTATGCCCAAACGCACCCTGGTCAAAACTGATTAACTCCATTCCATTTGGTTGGAAAGCTTCAAGAAAATCCCTTGTTTCATCCCAAGCCCAAAAACTCGCAGACTCATCCCCTTCACCATTTTGGAGGTAAGTTTTGGGGTCTTGAGGGGATTCCAACATAAATCCAACCCTATTCGCAACATGTTTCATGTGGGGCCATCTTGAACCATCCCATGACTCGTGAGCATGCATGTACAACCCCAACTGTTTCAGATACAGCGCAGTGTCACTGTCCGTTTTTTGTTGTTGGGATTCATTGAGGTGTTCAAACCCAAACCTTTCCGGACCATTTCTTGAACGCAACCTTGGTGGTCCTGGTGTTTTCTCCAACAATCTGCTCACAGTACGACATGGTGGTCCCCCCAACACAGCTACGACACGACCAGATGCAGCAAGTCGCCAAAGGTAGGCCCAAGTTGCAGCATCGTGGACATTCTGACCATCTCGAACGTCCAAAGTGATCATTTCAACGTCAGCAGGCCAACCAAGACTCCAATCCTTAGATGCTTCACCGGCATACAAGTGGATGACAATCGCCTTAGCTTGGGCATGTCGACGCCTTTGGGCACGATTCCAAGGCAAGTGAACCCCGGGAGTTTCAACCCCTTGACCCTTCATGTATCTCCAAATTCTTTTGGGAACATTCGGAAACCTTTGTGACCACCATTCATGTGCAGTCTCAGACACGGTTTCAGGACTTTCAGAAGGGATTCTTTTGGCTAACTCCAAAGATTCAATGTCATGAATCAACCCTAACGCATGTTTTTCAGACACAACAGGACACCCATTTCGCAACCAACACTGAATGGTTCCTCTTGAGGGATGTTTGATTTCACAACCATGGGTACTCCATTTGATGACAAAACCAAGGTCAATTAATCCCCTTAATGGAACAATGGGTTCAACCGCATGTTCAGTGAGAATGGTCCCCGTCAAAGCATGTTGTTTCAGTTCAACCGACCCATGTGCTAACTCCACAACGACAGGATCAGCTTCAGCCAGTTCTTTTGGGGTTCCCCTTCTCAAAGCGTTTGTTGCCCCACCATCCAAAAGACCTGTGGGTCCATCAGGAGCATTCACCCTTTTGATTTTGACAGCTTTGGCAACCGGTTTAAGGGTTTTCAGGAGGGTAGTGGCTTCACTCAACAGCCCAGTGACCCTTTCAGGAGTATTTTCTCCCCCGTCCCCAGTTTCCGGCCCAGTCCTGTACGCAGTTTCAGATCCAAGAGGCTTCTCTGCTGCAGCAACATCCCCAGTAGTTTTTTCAGGGCTACTATGTTCCCCAATACCCTTCCCATACTTTTCGGGGGTCCCTTTTCCACTTGGTTTTGACACCTTGGCAACCCTCTTTTTGGTGGGATCATGTTTGGGGTCCGACCCTGTATTCTTCAAAGGACAGTCACGTTTTGAATGACCCACAGCAGAACAGTTGAAACATCGGTTACTTTGGGGGTCCAATTCGCATGACCAAAAGAACATTGATCACCCCTGGTACACCCCTTTTCACTCATCCAATACCTACAAGGCTTTCTTTTTGAGTTCGGAAACCTCGGATCCGATTCATTTTGAGGTTTTGGGGAACTTTGAGGATTTTGAGGGATCCCAGGAGGCAATGGCACACCCAAAGCAGCAGCCCTCACAGCCGAAGTTGCCTTCGCAGGCGCGCTCAAAGTCAGCTCTTCAGCTTCAGCTTGCAGATGCTCGGAGTAGCTCAGGATCGTCTCTGCTGTTGGCAACTGATCCACATTCAACTGCTGGCGGATCATGTTGAGACGATATGCCACTTGTGGGGATTTTCCACTCAAAACATCAGTACATTTGTTCAAAGCCCCTAGCAAAACCAAACCATCAGGCAACGTGACATGGAGTTCCCTAGCCCTTTGAACAAACCGTCGCCAGGTTCGAATCCAGTCCAAAACTTCATGAACATTGGAACCACATTTGGAATCCGTAATGTTCTGCAACAACTTCGTGCGCTCAGTAGCACCTCCCGGTTGAAAGGTGATGCACAACTTGTACAACACTTGGTCAGTGGTCAGTTTTCGAGCTGAAATCACTTCTTCTTTGATGGGGTCAGGAATGGCTCCCAAAAGCATGGCTAAAGCCCTTCTTTCCGTTCGAGGCCAAAGATGAACCCTAGGATCCACCTGTGGTCGAAGCCTAAGCCTTTCAATTGGTCCAACATTCAACCAATCCCTATAACACTGATCAACAGCTCCCCTGACCATGGTCCACCAATCCCCCGACGAGTACGACAAGTCACCCATGAGAGAATCGATGATGCTGAGCCAATCACCAAATTGCAGAGCAGTGGCATCCATGGACAACTTCGGAAGCTCCACCGTCCTAAGATTTTCAGATGGATTTTCACCACCTGAGTTTTGCAAGGTTCCTGCCACAGACGCAGGAAAAGGCGGCAGTGCAGGTGGCATTTGAGGTGTTACCGACCCTAACCCACATACACTATTTAACATTCTTGGCGGCGATGGTGGTGGAGGTCCAGGTGGTGGCCTAGGCACAAATGGTTCAACAACATTTGACACAGTTGACACAACGTTTTCAGGTGCAACCCTCGTGAACGTCACAGCCTTTTCAGGTACAACCCTCACATATGGATCATGAACCATTTGGGATTCAACCACATCATGAGATTTGGGGGCAACAGGCTCTTGGAAATCCACTGCCGAAACATATGAACTTTGAGAACCATGCGACCCTTTTTCATGCTCATGTTTTTCAACCCTTGACTCCTTGGCACTCATCCCCATATTCAACAAACCCTGCCGAAACTTTTCTTCAGCATCTCTCAAACAACGCAATCGGAACAGTTCTATTGGATCCATTTCAACATCAACACTTTCCCTTTGTTCCACATGAACTTTTTGGGGTGTCGACGCATTTGAACCCGGCTGCAAACCCAAGGCACTCATATCGTACCCAGGCCCGAATGCTTCTCGAACAGCTTCACGCTGCTGAGTTTCGCTCCAGAAGGGATTCACAACTTCCCCCATTTGGTCTGGAACCACAACAACATTTTTGCTACCCTGAGGCGCGACAACAACGGCTCCGGAGCCCTGAGGCCCATCACCTATGTAAAACCTTTGAACCCCTGAACCCTTCGCGGAGCCCTGAGGCATGGTTTCACTCACAACAACAGAACCCTTTTCAGTGAGGCCCTGCGACACATTTTGACAACCCTCAGAACCCCTCACATGTGAGCCCTGAGACACATTTTCACAACCCTCAGAACCCCTCACATGTGAGCCCTGAGACACATTTTCACAACCAAAACCCCTCACATGCGTGAGTCTTGGGACACAGAACCCCTCACATGTGAGCCCTGAGACACATTTTCACAACCAGAACCCCTCATTCGTGCGTGAGTCTTGGGACACAGTTTCACAAACAGAACCCCTCATTCGTGAGCCCTGCGACACATTTTCAACACCCTCAGAACCCCTCACACGTGAGCTCTGCACATCCCGGTTTGAGTGTTGTGCTTCTGCGGCAACATTTTTCCTACCAGACTCAGAGCCAGACCCCTTTCCCTTGCCAGCACCATCTCTAGGACTATGTTCATTCACAATCCCCTGCACTGGTTCGGTGGTAGTTCTATGCCCCTCATTTGGTGGGTTTCCAGTTTGTTGCTCTGTCACAACGACCCTTTTGACACCAGGTGTGTTTTCAACATTCTGTTTCACCTCGAGGTTTTGCATTCCCTTAGCTCTCTCAACTAACATGGGTGGCTGACCAGGGGAAAAAGACAACGGAGGTCCTACAGGTCCCAAAGCATCCAACATACCCCCACTATTCAGTTCAGTGGTGTTAGGTTCAACAGTCAGAGCTCCAACAGACCCACCAGTTCCAGACCCAGCAGCTTCTTCCAACATCTCCTCCATCAGGTCGTCTGCGCAGCTGGCAGCATTCGCAGCGCTAACAGCGGCAGCAGCTCTTCGCTGGAGAGAAGACTCACGACGACTGGCAAGCTCCATGTCAGCTGAGATCCTTTGGGCTCATAACCCGTGGATCAACAACTGAAGCAGCAGCTGCTAGGCAAGACTTTTTCAGTCTCGCCTTTGTGCCAACTTTCGTTGGCTTGAGCCATTTTGCAATGGCAGTCACATGTCATCCTTGCGCAGTGGCCATGCTATGTTTGGTGCATGCCACCACATGTCAACTTCTAAGTTTTAAAATCCACAGCAGCTGGTGGAATGCTTCATGAATCGCACTTTCAATTTATTGTTCGTTCGCTGTTTGTTTTTTCATGATTTTTCGTTCGAGGTTCGGACTTTGTTGGCGAGCTCTGAACATTTGGCACAGCTTTGTGCTGCACAGAGATGCAACGAGCCTGAGCATCCAATTCTTGACTACGACCAGGACCCTGATTTGAATTGGCTTTGATAGTCTTTCAGTCTTTCCATTAAAGTTTCAGTATGTTTCAGTTTTCGAAATTGTTGACTAGATCCCCGTTTATGCTAGTTGGCAGGATGCTCGTGAATGTGTCTGCAGCTCGCATCCTTGCTGGAATGACAATGGCCTGGAGCACACCTGCTGCTCTGTGTTCAATTATCCCTTTTCTTTCAGGCGTGTTTATTCTGTTTATTTAAAGACTTCTTTTTCTTGGGCTGTTCTAAGCTGCTGAGGCCGAGGGAAGTTCGGTTTTCCATTCCTGACCTTCTTCTACAATGAAACCAAGCACTTGGTGTGCGAATGCAGCAGTTTTGCACACTACGGATCGATCTACGTCTCTCGAGACCTCTGCCCTGGTCATCGATGCGTGGACCCAGAACATCCAGTGCTGGACTACGACGAGGATACCGCTGAATGTGTGTGTAAGTCTCATCCTTGTTGGCACGACAACGGAAGGAGGCATACATGTTCCGAGAAACCGGGTTTCCCTTTGCTCAAAATGCGATATCACGAGGCCAGGGATGGCTGAACGAACAGGCTGAAGGTTCTTAAACTGTTTTCTAACAGCACACCTTAAACTGCCTGAGACTCAAAGCATGCATTTGCAGCTGCCCTAGCTCTATGCCAGGGTATGCAAGCCCCTACGCTAGTGATAATGTCTTAGGTACAGGTATGTTACGTGTTGTCCGGCTGCATATTTCGCAAACTTTAGAGTTTGGAGTCTTTCATCATTGCAGGTCGATGGGCGCTTGGAGAGAGTATGTGAATGTGGTATTTCTATGGAAAAGGATCAATCGTTTCCTTTGTTCGAGTATGACAAACCTGGTGCTGATCCTGATGAAGCAGACTTTGAAGATGACAACGAGGAATTTTAATGGCTGGCCCAGCGCTGTACAGTCCAGCCCGCCCTAAGGCCGTCTTCAATTGTGTCGATCACTGGGTTTGTTCAAGGAATAGTTTCCAGTTACCAGCCAGATACGGGGCATAGGTTCCCTTTTTTGTTCAAACATCTTCATTCTGTTCTCAGAGTTGAAGTTGATGTGTTGAGTGAAGATCCACTGGCGGTCACTAGCGCTGGAGCTGTTTGCGTTTATTCATTTGTTCCATCCGTCAGAAGGCAGGCACTCAACCGCCGGCCGTTGCAAAGATCGGCGGCCAAACGGGAAAACAGAATGGGAAAGCTCTGGATGTGGCTGGGAATCTGAGGGACTAGCGCTATTGGTCAAACTGTATCAATGTTATCAATGGTCATTGTTGAGCACAGATTGGCGCCCGGCCATAGCCGAGATAGCCCGGATAGCTTTGCAGAAAGATCTGCCTGCAACGCCATTCCTCCAGTGATTCCTGTTGCAGGACCGAGCTATAGAGCTTCCGGAAGGAAAGATCACGATTGAGTGCAAGACCCAGACGTTCACACCAGCCAACCAGTACACGCTCACTGCATCATAACGCCATGACTCAGTGCAACAGGCAGGTGGCAAAGGCGCTGAACCAGATTGCTGATCCCTCAGACCTTTTAGCTTTGGAAAAACATAGCTGAGAGGTTTCGTTTCAGCAGAGAGAGGTTGCCCTGTCATTTTACATCGTCTTGCCGCAATCCGATTCCATCATTCATCAGTTCTATGAATCACCATATTTTCGATGGTAAATAAACCTATACATTAAGGTAAGAAGTCTTAAATATGATAAACCAACATCCATCATTTATAGATGATGAACATTGAGAAACAATTGATAAATCCTAAAAAATGATGAGAGACCCATTTTATCCATCGTTTTGGCACCTTGGCAGACCTGGCCGAACTGCTTCACCCGCAGCAACGTTCGCCCGGATGGAGCTCCATTCATTGAGGCAGAGTCATATTTCATGGGGATGATTTAACCATCATCGATAGGGCCCTGATAGGGTTCTTAACTGATCAAACATATGGTGATACAAGTGATGGTGGTTGGTTGATCGGGTGTGATGCTACCCAGTATATTTGGGGTTGTCATAATCCATCATAATCCAGTACACTATTGCAATTGGGTCAATTTGTCAAATGTTGCAACATGTTTCAAAATGAATTCTCCCATGACAGGCTTTCCCCCTTGGCATTGTGCTGAACTATTCGCTTGGCCTGGTTTGTTCACGACCCACGCAGCTTTGGCCAGATCCTCTGTGATCCTTCGAACTCCAATCTTGTTTGTCCTTTCTCTCCACAAGGCCAAACCTGACCAAGCTGCTGGCAATGTGGTTTGCCCAAGAGCAACCAGAATTTCCCTACACGACTGTGCAACTTGTTTGCATTTGCTTGACAGCCTCGACATTTGTCTTGAACTTTGTTACCAGTGCGTCTTTGAACGCCTGGATCAATGCAAAACGAACTGCTCGTGGACTTGCGAGGCAATTGAACAAAGATTATGCCACGAAGATGCATGTGGCTCGGGGCCTGGATCTGGCTGCCGCAACCAGCAAGCCCTTGCCGGTTTGGTTGCTGGTTTGGACATGTGACACCAGGACGGCAACAACCATGGACCCTCCTTCATCATCGGGTCGGAGCCACAGAGGTTTCGGAGAAAAAACCCACATGTTCGATGGCTAAATCAAGTTAAATCATCATATTTTCTGGGTTAGATCATAGTTAAACCATGTAAACAATTCACCATTTTTGATGGTGAAGCCTGGTGCTACGGAGGTTAGGAGACTACACCGGTGGTGAAGTTTGGATCCTGGACGAGAACGGCACGGTGGAGGTGGAGATTCCTTGCACGCTGCGTGGATGGCCGCACCTCAGGCTCTGGCGATGGCGTGGAAAAAACCACCGTCCAGTGATCCAGTGATCCAGTGATGAAACAGTGATGAAACAACTGGATTTGTTATGATTTGTTCATGAAACAACTGATCTTATCTGATCTTCATGGATCCTTGATTTCTAGGTTTGATGACCGAAAACCATGTGTGTCTCCAAAGCTTCAAACCGCATATTTCTGCAGATCAAGCAGATCACATGGGGTGCCATTAAGTCCACAAACCTAACGGGTAACCTGACATTCCTGTGACATTCCTGAAGGCCCGGCACCAAAGTGAAAGGACGGTTGGAAGATTGCCACAACAAGTGGGTGAAGTTCGATGGTAACACCCCACACATGACCATGCCATACAAAGGTGGGGCAAGCAGGAACTTTTTTGAAGCTTCAACTTTGGCTGTGAGAACTGTGAAAGTTCTTTGCAGTCTCACACCATCTCACATCCTCGAGCAGGTTCTCGGATCAGTCTCGTTTTCTTCACTCGAAGAGGCCGACTCAAATTTCTCAGAGGAGTTTGGCCTGTGTGATGCAACGCCCAAATGATAGGAAATGGGCTTGTGATCGGTTGAAAACAGCTTGAGCAAGGGGACTTGTGATGCCTGTGTCGAGGCTGGTTGAGAATGTTGCCTCAAACCAAAGAGTCGTTGGAGTCCTCCGGTTTCCTCCTCCCGGGTGAGGCCGGAACTTCGCTTTCCTTGACTACTTCAGAGTTCAGTTTTAGTATGATGCAACCATTCCAAAATCGGACATGTGACATGCGACATGAGCTCCCTTCCTACCTTTGCTGCAGTCGGTGCCTTTGAGCAAACTTTGCTGGACACAATCGCATTGTTTGCTTCAAGTTTTTCATCCCGCAATGAGGACTTCCTCAATCTCTCCACAGTGAAGGAGGTGAAGGAAGAACCTGAAGTCCAAAAGGCAATTGAGCCCTTCGAAGGGGCCAATAGGTCATGGAAGGTCAGTTTCAATCTGAAAACATGAATCATCATGAATCTAATTCGTGTTGCTGGCGGGTGAAATCTTCTCTCTTCATTTTTCCATTTGATGGGTCAGTCTCGCTTGCAGCCAAGACGCAGACCTCTCCACACTTGGCCATTTCGCAGATGTTTCGATGGCAGCCACAGCGTTGGAGGAAAAAAAGGTTGCAAAAGCTCCTGAAGTCCAGGAAGTGGAGGCGGAAAACCGTTCTGCACATGTAATGTGCTGTGACTCTGATTGGGAATTCCAAACCTTTGGATATATGGACAGGAGACAGCCGTGAGTGATGACGAGATGGATGAGGCGGGGGGACAGCGATATTACTGCTTTATTTTTGGAGCCATTTCCAGCATGTCAGGATGAGAAGGCTGACGAAGTCATGAGAGCGGAGCAGGATGCAGCGACCTGGTTTGAAACTTGGATAAGTGACAATAAGTGCAAGTAGAATCCAAGTAGAATGCATTGCGTCACTGGCATCGCAGAATGGCAAGGCCATCCTGGGATTGGGGTGCTCGTTTGCGAGCTCACCTGAACGCCTTCGCAGGCCGGCATGGCAGTTTTTGATATGGTTTTGATATGTTTTGATTCTATCTTTCTGTGTCTTTCTGTCTCAATTGTGGCTGCCACAGGTACAGACCTTGCAAACTCGAATCTCAAGGTGGCACTCTTGGGAAGCGCGAATGTCTTTGGCATGGCTTTGCAGGAGATGCCTCGGATGTAGCGTGTAGTGCAGTTGTATGTGCAGTTGTATGATGGCGGATATCCCTTCTGAATCCTTCTGAAATCAACAAGTTTTTAAACATTTTAAACTGATTGTATCATATTGTATCCAGGTGTGCACCGTTGGTTATCCTTGGGGACAGTATATGTGTACTGTATGCATAAACGCGCTTGTGAATGCGCATGCTGTACTTGTACAGACAAGAAATCCTGCGAGCCTTGAACATTAAAGTGACATTATGTACATCAAAAACATGAAAGGATGTTTGAAATGAACTAATTTGAATTCTAGGGATTGGAATGGGGCACATGTGACTACCTTCCGTCAGCTTGTTTGCGTTGGACTGCATTAGACTCATTAGAATCATTAGACCAGTCTAGATTGACAGATTTCCAGACAAGGGATGACGGATAGTGAAGGTAGCCAGTTTGTAAGTTATTTGCATCTTATGTTTGGACTATCTTGTGGGGCATTTATAATTTCACAGGAACACAGTACACCCGTCGACCTACACACACACACACACGTGAAAATTGTTCTAAATTTAATCTAAATTGCTGTATGAACTCTGTGAACGATTTCTCTTCACCTGAAATGACTGGCTCTACCGGTCAGAATGAGAATGGCAAGTCTGAAAGACCTAGTCTGACGTAGTCTGGCGTAGTCTTGTGTCCAGAGTTCTGAACTTGCTGCTCCAAGTAACAGATACCAGACAACAGCTCCTATCCGATGCCAGATAGATCTGCCACTTTCGCACACATTGCAGGAACTGATAGGCTCTTCATCTTTCCGCATCTTGACATGTACGGAAGCAGGCGGGCCATTTTGGACGTCACTTGGTTCGCCTATTGGGTTTCGGTGATGTTTCTGTGGCTTAAACCTGCCTCTGTGAGGTGGTGTGGCGATGCGTTTGATGAAAAGGACTTGCAAACCTCAGCATGCCTTCTTGAACCTCGATGCAGCAATGGCAGGGTGCGGAATGCCAAGCAGGGTTTGATGTCCACATAGTGAGTTGAATCTGAAACCAGGCAGCAGAATTGGTGCAGGCTTTTTTTTTGAGGCGGCATTAATAGACGCATCAATAGACTCATGCAAATCAGGAAGTAGCATGCCATGAGGCATGGACACTGCGATATCCATCACAAGGCGCAGTTGGTAGAATCCTTCACTGCAAAATCCAGCGGCATTCTGGCAGTAGCTTTGGCAAGGTTTGCACTAGCGGCACTGAGACCAGCGGGCACCGGCCTCAAGCCTCTAAAATGTTGGGACTGAACTGCACAATTGGTTTCGAGAGTTTTGAGGTCAGAAGAGACAAGCATTATGTCAGAGGAGCCGCTGTTTGTATCCACTTCGTGATATGAAAGAGATTGTCGTGGCGTGAAGGATTTATTGTTTGGAAGCTTTCCATGCGAGCGGGACACTCATCGATGAATTGATGATATCCTATTTTCAGACAGACTCACGTGTTGTTCATTTGACTGCTATTGCTTGGCATCAATATCTTTTCCAAGGCCATTTCTGAATCAAGATCCTTCAAGGTCAGGGACTTGGGAAGAAACTTGAAACCAACAGGAATCCCCAAGTGGATAGAAAACCGTCTCCAGGATACTATAGATGATCTTTATCCCACAATTGTTGAGTTTCCAACTAATCTATGATATGTATATATATATATATACACACCATGTTGGGGATCGCCAAGATTGCTGTGAACGGATGTGTAAGACAAGATAATCTCATGACTCACCTGAGCTCAGGCCCAGTTGCTTCGATGACCCCCGATCAAACGTCTTCAAGTTGCTGAGACAGCATATGGTCACGGTCCAAGCATTTGAGACCACGCCGTGAAATGGTGACATTGAGTTTATCAAGCTTATTCGAATTTATTCGACACCATCCCTCTACATATCTTCAAGCGATTTATTTTCTGTTTTTTTTGCTCCAGGTGGTGCAAAAGCCAAGGGCGGCTTTGCTGCTTGTGGAGTGTTGGCAGAAGCTTCCAGAGGCTCTACTATCCATGTTCTGCACCAACTTGTTCCCCATGGGAGGTTTTTCTGTGCAAAAAGAATTGTTGCTGGAGTTGCCTCAAAGTTCGACGCAAGAGGCATCGCGGCCATCTGTGAAGAGCTTTCTCCTGGAGGGCAAAGATCCCCGCATCATGGAGTCAGATGAGCAGGCTTCACACGTGCAGCCTGCAGCACCAATCTCCACAATTGCTGTGTGGGTGTGTCTGAAAATCGGTATACTCCCAAATGGCAAGTAAAAGACGGGACAATGATGATTAACAAGTGGATTTAGGGGTACCTTACTTTCAGACAAATCTATATGTTCCGCCAATGAAAGCCTTTCAGTTGTTCACTTTGTGAGGCCCTCTGGGGTCTTCGTTATTTGGATGGCTATGGTGCTGCCTTCCTTGAAGTGCCCCTGGCAGCCTGTGGCGTACCACTAGCAGGTCAGGAGGCGATGATCGTGTCGGTGGGCCCAGAAATTGTCCTTTCACGGCTTCCTTGGGAAAAAACACAGCACTTCAGGCTCATCCGGGACGACTGCGGCGGGGCTTCTGCAGCCGACGCAGCATCCCAGTTGGTGAAGAGCATGCTGAGTTCCGAGCCCAAGCCGCTGCCCACCCGACATGCTTGTGCTGGATGTGTCTTCTGCCGAATAACTATTCTGCTAATATTATCTAATTTTCCCATTCGTGTGCTTTTAATATTTTTTCACGTTTCGAAGGCTAGAGCGATGCTCTATTCATGCTCTTATGTTCAGTGATGAAGACGATCGAGTTGTGCTGGACTCAGAAGATCAAGTCAGGGATACCAGGCCTCAGAATGAGCAAAGGCAGTGTTGACACTGCCTGTCAATTTCCCAAGATTGCGTTTGTCAGCTTATCAAAAAGCATAGCTTTGTGTCAAAGGTGCAAGCTCAACAGGCAGCGAAGGAAGCATACAAGAAGGGGAAATCCCGCAGGTGCGCTGCATTCTGCAACATCATCCAACAGCGTATGGCTGTGCAGTACGCCTTTCTGCAAGGAGGTGCCAAAATGCGACCATGCGCCGAAAGATGAGCACTGAGGTGCTCTGCCTAGCATGGCATCACAGCATCCGAACCCAGTCCCATGTACGAAACATGATGCTGCAGATGCAACTCGATGTCGGATACCGAAAGGGGCACTCGGGCACCCTTAAAACTTTTAAGTTTTTTTTTGTACAGCCATGACTGGGCAAGGTTCGAGAGCTGGGTCTACAACCTGGTGAGGCACCATGGAGCCGAGCAGCATGGAGCTACGTGGGTTGGAGAAACAGGTGGCATCTGCTGGCGCCATGCAAGGCTCCCTACACAGACCACCTGAACGGGATCAGAATTGCAGCTGCAAGGCTGGCAAATACTGGCAAATTTTCCCATGGGAGGATTTTAAAGACACAATTGGTCGTTTTTTGCTGGCTTTCTTGAGAGCCCATCCGCCATCCTTTTTTGGAAGACGCAGATTCTTCTTTTCACATCCAGCCAAATCCACACAGCTTTTTTGCAGCTCTTTTGATTGGCAACATTGCACTCAGGATGGAGCGCCGAACAGTTTTTGTTTAGATATTTTTTCTCATCCTAATTCTGCCAATTTGACATCAAAATCTGGAGGATGGGTCAGCAGGGCCAGGACCACAGAGCGTAAGATTGGTGCTGTCATGGTGGATCTTGATACAACTTGGTGTAGCGAGTGGCCTCAGGTCAGACTTCTGCAGACAGATGGATCAAACAAGCGCCTGATGAGAAGGTTCGCGGCTGCAAGGTGTATAAGCGTTCAGCTTTGAAAGCAAATGCCCCAAAGGGGGGGATTAGAGGCTGCTCACTTGAACCTTCTCTTTGCGCAGCATCCTCAAAGAGCTGTAGAAGCCACGCCACTCCGAAATCTCAAGAAGCGGGTTTGTCCAAAATTTGCTATGGCACTATGGTTGGTCATCATTTTTCCTATTGATATTGCCATATAAACAATTGAACGCAGGTGTATCTTATCCGACTTATCCTCCATTTTGAGACGAACCCAGGTTGAACGTTGTGCTGTGTTGACGCCCTGAGGCGAGCTCGTCAGCATGGCCTTGATCTGCAGAACCTTTGTGTGGACCTATCTCAAGGCGCTGACCATGTTTTTTTCTATGGGGGTACCGGGGTACCCCAATAGCTGGATAGTTTATGATGGAAAATCCTCTTTTTTAATGGATGACAAAGGCGGGTACCCCCAGTTGAGGAAACCGTCATATATATGTGGAGTTGGTTATTTTTTTTGTTTCAATCATCTGACTGTGTTCTTCTGACCAGGTTTTTCTGCTTCGGGGCGACGCGATGATGGACTGCTCCCGCGATCCACAGCCTGGCAGCTCAGCCGCGGACACCACCAGGGTGGCGGTCGGCTCAGTAAGGTCATGAAAGAAGAAAGCTGGTATGCATCCCAGGAGCATCCCAGGAGCCGACAAGTTTGCTAGATTTGGTGTTGAAAAAATGCAATGCATTGCAATGCCCTTTTCTGTTTGCTTTGAAAAAGCACTGTACCTTCTTGAGATTTCTTTTGCTTTTTCTTTCTTCCGACGGCATTCCAGGTCGGAGTTTTACTCCTTCAACCACCATCGAGCTTTGATCGGTGAGCAGCTCAAGAGCCCACAGCTGCAGCTTCGCCCAGCTTCGCCCAGCTTCGCCCAGCTTCGCCCAGCTTCGCCCAGCTTCGCCCAGCTTTGCTGCACAGGTCAAGAGCTTCTGCTGTGCTTCGGGTATCCCATTTGGAGCCTGCACCTTGGTACCCCCGAAGACCCGAAGAACCTGTCGCTGGACGATTTGTCGCGGTCGCCTTCAACCCAGACCCACACCTTCCCAAAGATTGGCATCTATTGCTTTGAGAGCGTTAGAGTGGTGAAAGGTGATGTGTTTCTTTGTGGATGCAGTGATTCTTGAACGGTGCCAAAGACTCCAATGAGCCTGTTCGCTGAGAAAGGTTCTTTCCGTGCTGAGTGGCATAGATAAAGCATCACAAAATAGGAGTAGGTGCTGCAACGTTGCAAACGTCTTCCTTGATTGTTTCCAGTTTCTCAACCCATGGTCGTGGAAGCTGTCTCCAATTTCTCTCTTTTCGTTGATGGAAAAAGTCGAGAAAACTGCCAGAAGAAGCAGAAGAAGAAGAAGTAGAAGAAGAAGAAGAAGTGACTTTACTCATTTGGTCATGTTTGTTCTCCAGCAACCCTTCGCATCTCATTTCTCTAAGGACTCGACTTTCGCAGCATCTCGGATGCAGAGGCCACGCAGCTGGCAGTTCGATCTGCGGCCGTGCCCGCAGTGGGGATCTGCATGGCAGCAATGCTGGCGGCCGGAAACTCGTGACGCAGATTTCTTCTGGATGCCCTGGGTAATGAAAAGATGGAAGACAGTTCCAGTGCAGGATATCAGACAAGAAGTGACAAGAAGTTGGAACGAACTGGGAGATGTCACTCTTGGTGTCGTCACCCTTTCAGACGTGAGGTAGTGGAGTTGCCTGGCAAAGAGAAGCTTCCAGAGTGGGTTGGCCCAGATGTTTCACGATGGCAGCGTCAACTCTTTTGAAATATGGGCGGGCCTTCCACGGGCTTCCACCTCTTCTGTAAGTATGATATAACTTGTATAATTGCAATCGATCGTCCACCTCGGAAGTCATTTGAAGCCAAAGATGGTGCGGATTCTCTGACGTGCAGTCCCCAAAGGTAGCAAGAAGAATGCTTGGATTTTGGTCACCCCAGGAAGCACATCGCAAATCTTCTTGACAAGGTGGAGTTGAAAGAGGCAATGCACTCAGCGTGTCTTTCAGCCCGGATAGCTGGATCTTGCCCCGAAAGTTGCATCTCCGGAGGCTTCTCGCTTTGCCCAACTGACCTTACCTGAGACCGAGGAGAAGCCTGACGTATCCAGTGAACTCCAGGCCTCAGAGAGACCGGCCACACCGAGGATCTTTGCGTATCCTCCCATCCTCGCGGGAGTCTTCAGAGATTCTTCACAGCATATATATATATATATGCAGATATATATTATGACTTTGAGCTTTTGTGCTCTGGACCATGGAGAGCTCATGAAGAGGACAGACAAATATGGCAGCGACCACTTGAAATGATGGCCGATGATCCAACATGTGCTGGCATAAGACCATGACCAGAGACAGCACAAACTACTGCCAGATAGTCCATGAACCAGGAATCCCATGAAATCCGACCGTTATTTTAGGATAGTTTAGGGATTTTCCAAGAGGTTTTAGTCTCACTTGTGCCAAAGCGCTTTGTGCGGTGCCTTTCATGGCTCCAAACAAGAAGCCTGCTGCAAAGCCTTCAACCGTAAAGAAGCGTCCAGCTTCAGTGACTTGACTGAGCTTGGCCAATCTGCACCAATAGATGTAATCATGTAGCATGATGTAACTATGTTATTCATCTCTCAGATCGAACCTTCCTCTCTTTCTTTCGCTGTCTCTTTTACATCTTCGAATTTTTGATTCCATACGCACTTTGGCCTCTCCACAGCTATCAGGCGAAGCCAACTCAGACACTGAAGCGGCCTGCAACTGGGAAGCGAGCTGCACACATTTCCAAGGCGACACGATTCGGGACAGGGCTTAAGTCGCTTTGCATGGAGGAAGTACTGTAAGTCATCAGCACCAAACCGGTGTTTTGACAGCAGATCCTCTGAGTTCTTGATAAGTATGATAAGTTCTTGATGAAGTTGCACTAACACTACTATTACATAATATTATATCAATATCACTACTATTACCATAATATTACAGACTATTACATCATGATCGAAAAATATGGACATATTCGTCGAAATATCGTGACGTATGGTGACGTTGCCGCTTCCAGGTTTCAACATGTCCTCATTCTGTGGCCAACTTTTCGGAGGCGGTGGTGGAACGTGGCTTGGAAAGTGACATGAAAGTGTCACGAGGACATCCTTGTTGTAGCGACCCTACGCTTCTCTCAGTCCTCTGGTTTGAAATGTTAGAATCATTAGATAGAATCATTAGATAGAATCATTAGATAGAATTGGATATAGAGAACTTCCGAACACTTCATGGTTGTGTCGATGGAAGAGAAAATGTGTTTTCTTTGGGAGTCTAAGGCATGGACATTCAACTGAAGGTCGACTTTGACCGGCAGGTCCTGGCTGGAGTATGCCAGCTTTCAGTGCGAGTCATCGCAAAGAACGCAGCCCACATCATCCTTGATGTCTTGGCATTGGCATGCTGGCTTCCTAATTGTGCGTTAATGGATGGTCTTTTAATATCCTTTAAGTCTGTTTCTTTCTATTTGTCTTGACCAAACAGAGGGTTTGGTGAAGTTTAGATTTGTCTTGTATCACGAGGCAATTGAAAGTGTGGTTGGTGAAGATGGACAGCCAGTGTCGTGCCATGCATTTAGCCCTGGCAAGTTTTGTAATTCATTCATCAAGTCTTTACTTTGGTTTGTTGGTGAAAAGGTCTTGCGGAGTTTCAGGAGCAAGTGAGGCAGTTTGGAAGATCGAGGATCCATCATGGCCTAAGTCGCAGTTCGGCCAAGCTTTATGCATTGAGTTGCCGCAGCTGCCGCGCGGAAAGAAAGTCACCACGTTTTCTGTGAAATATGAGACGACAGAGAAGAGCACAGCCCTACAATGGCTGACAAAGGAGCAGACTCAGGGCAAGGAATATCCATTGTGCTTCACGCAAAGCCAAGCGATTTGTGGAAGGTCTCTTCTACCGTGTCAAGATACACCATCAGTGAAGAGCCCATTTTCGATATCTGTGACGGTGCCCGCACCACTCACAGCAGTTGCATCGGGCAACCTTTGTGGCGATCCAGTGTCCGAGGGCGCATTCCGCACTTTTGTATATGAGCAGAAAGTGCCTGTCATGTCCTATTTGATTGCAATTGTGGTGGCTTACTTGGACTCCTGTGACATTGGCCCCAGAAGCAAGTGCTATGCAGAACCAGGTGTTATCAAGGCAGCGCAGAGGGAATTCCAGGACATTGTCGAGGAATTTCTAGTTACTGCTCAGGAAGTAGTGGGTGGAGCAGAGTATGAATGGGGCAGCTACAACGTTGCTGTCATGCCGTCATCATTTGCATATGGAGGAATGGAGAATCCAAACTGCACTTTCATGAGTGCTTCGTTGATTCCAGGGGACCGTAGCCTGACGCCGACGCTGGCGCATGAGATTGTGCACTCCTGGATTGGGAACCTTGTCACCAATGCACTGTGGAAGGACTTCTGGCTGAATGAAGGTTTCACACGCTACATTGAGAGACGAATTCTGAGACTCCTGGCTGAAATGCCAGGGTTTTAGTATTTTTTTATAATTTGGGGCACCTCTTTTCTTTTCTTGCTTGCCACTTGCATTATAGCTTAAGCTGCTTTGTTGATGAAAACCTGTTAGTCGAGGCAAGATCTATGGACCTGCGTTCCGAGGGCTGCTGCTTTTGGTCGGATACAATGATTTGATCAAGTAACTTGCCAGCGTCGTTGGCTTCAGAGTGGAGTAGGTGGTTTTTGTTCGTTTGGCATAGGACAGGCGATGCAGACTGTCATTTTCGTGGGTGAACTTTCCCTGTCAGGACAGTGGACATGCTCACCAAGCAGGGCACTCCCGGCCATACCAGGCTCGAACCAGAGATCGACGACGTGGATCCGGATGATGCTTTTTCCAGGGTGCCATACGAAAAAGGATCACTTTTCCTCTTCTACCTGGAGCAAATAGTGGGTGGCGAGCAAGCTATGACTGATTGGCTTCGTGCGTATGTCGCATCTTTTCGAGAGCGCAGCATCCAAACTTCAGATGTCAAGCGACACTTCCTTGAATTCTTCAAAGGTGTGAAGCGCGTGAAAGAAATTGATTGGGAGCATTGGCTTCATGGTGAAGGTTTGCCAGACTTCAACCTAGCAGACTATGTGGATAGATCACTTGTTGATGAAAGCAAGTCTTTGGCCGAGAGCTGGCTGAACACCTCAACATCAGAGGCTGAGACTTCGCACATGAAAGCCCAGCAATGGATGTTGTTTTTGGATCATTTGATCAATGCAGTGGTAGCTGGCCAGTCCATTTCCCATAGCACACTGGAGAACATGGATAGCAAGTACAAGATTTCAGCCACATCCAACGTTGAGGTGTCTTTCAGGCAGGGAACGTGTCAAACGACTTTCAACATACCAATGTATTTGCCAAAGATTCTGCGTTTGGACAGTTTGCTTCCTCAAATCTCTTTGCAGCTGCATGGTGCAGAAGACACATGAGATTTGACAAACTTAGACTCTACAGCTTCGTTGTATTTGATGGCAAAAAGGTGCAAACCATGGGTTTCTAGATTTTCCTTTAGATATTTTTTTCCATTAGATATCAATATATGATGGGATTTTCCTGACGACAGACTTGAGACATCTTGAGACAATGGTCGCATCCGTAGAAAAAGATCAAAAAACGAAGCCTTCAGGTGGTGCCTGCTAGGATGCAAGCTCTCCTGGCCGGGGTGTTTGGCATTGACCGAACATTTCCTGGCAAACCATGGTCGTGGAGTATACGTTAAGCCTCTTGGATGCACATTTGCTGAGTAAAGATAGTAAAGTAGTGATTTTCGGCATTGTGAAGACATCGACTGCTTCAAGTTCAATTTCCATGAGGCCACTGTATTTGGCGTTCAAAGCCTTTGATCTTGAGCGTGCACGTACAGTGTTCCAGCGCAACCGCAACGTGCCTGAAAATTATATGGTCCAGTCGCAGACAGGTTGACTGTGTCTGCTGGCACTTCTTGGTGAGTCCTAGAGGATCCATGTTACAATGTTATGTTCATGTGGTAAACCGTAAACCCAATCAGAAACCTACCATTTGGGGTCTATATAGACTTAGACCACCAATTCATGGTCAGATTGGGGATGGGTTATTATTGAGTTTGCCACATATAGGTACTTTGCAGATGCATCTAGAATCTTGACCTGCTGCAACCTTCTATTGTGGGCAGACCCAAACATCCACCTGCTAGCACTTCCAAGAGGGCGTGAGGCCCTTCACCAAACTTTCAAACGAGCTGGGGGCTGCTTGCTGCAAGACACAAGATCAGCTGTTTGCCAGTCCACATTGTAGACGTGACTTCTGCAAGATGCCACGCAATTTACATGGTCTGGACGTTATTAGACGTTTGTACTGGCGAACATAAGGTGAAGTTTTTGTGACAATTTATCGTAAGTGCGTGCCGGCTTGTCGGTTTCAACCTTGTGTACAGAACGTTCGAACCTTCCACAAAGCAACCTTTTTATCCAGCTCATGTCGACCTAGGGGTGCTTAGTACTCGTAGAGCCAACAACATCTTCTTCACATTTGCATGTCTGAACCATGAATTCTGTACTGGTGTTGTTTCGTTTTGGACTCGAGGCAACTTCTACATGACGGTGGTGACGCGGCAAATCGCAGCATTCCTGGACTAAATTCAGCAGCAGTTGCAGCAAAGGGTTTGTCGTGGTTAGACAATCCAGCTTACATAGAGATTTTGATCAAGAGGCCAGAGTAAAAAGACCGGATCACGCCGCTTCAGCAGGAATGCCAAGATATGTGTCACTTCATTCTGGTCCCATGTCTGGACTTCTGGTAGGTGCAAGCAGTGCAAGCTAAGACAGAAGACCTCCATGTTTGCACCTTGGAGAAGTGTCTCACTTGCCCCACGCTGAATTCGCCAAGACATCAAGGTGGCTCTTGATGAAGACGGTGCGCGTTTGGAGAGTAAAGCAGCAGCTTTGCAGGGGCCCCATAGCCGCCCATAGCTGTTCACAGTTGCATCTCAAACATCAGATAGTTGATGATACTTCCATGATCTTCCATGTATTTCAATGTATTTCATCTATGTGGCGCATTATACAGACAAACACATGAAATCACATGAACATACTTCATGATCTTCATGCAACAGCATTCTACTAGGACCACTTGCCAGTCCCCATGTGAAAGGCTGAATTTGGTAAGCCATGGAGCTTTTGCTTCTCGTTCTGATGATGTGATGCAAGCTTCTCCGGCGCAGAAGAGAGATGTCAGATTCTCTGGCGATTCTTGTTAAATCCCTTGTAGTTGAACAAATGTGTCAGCTGAGCTGCCGGTTGTATCACGCCAGCTGATGGACTGTGGTTATTGTGGTTGAGGCAGCAAACAGCATCTTCTCAGCTTTGAGCCCGACCCGTAGTAGACAGCCCGTCAAGTCCATGAGATGACATTGGTTTGGCGCCCATCATCATCATCATCATCATCATCATCATCATCATCAAGCTGACGTACCTAGGTGCCGTGGCCAAAACCACTGAGGGAGATGACCAGGACGAATTTGGTGTTACTTTGGGGATATGGCCGTTTCTGGCTGGTTCGTTCAGGTGGGAGGTGTTTATTTTCCACGGGTAGACAAGGCTTTGTGATTTCAGGTTCAAGAAAAGACTGGCACAAAACGGAAAGAACCGGAGCCGGAAGAAGATGTGCCGATGTCAGAATCTGAGTGGTGCCTTGCTTTCTGAATCCCTACTCATGGATGAGCGTGCAAAAAGATCAATCTGACTGGCTTGTGAAACATGAAAGTATGTCCAGAGGAAAAGGCGGGTCTGGAGTGTGTGGAAATTGACAAAAGAACCTTGTTGACTCTCTAATGCGACAAAGGATGAAAGGTCACATGTATGTGCTCAGGCTCAGACCCTATGTTTCTTGCTGAACCAAGGGGCCTCTTGCCGGTCGAAGAAGAGCCCCTCGACTGGCAGGTGCGATTGCGAAAGCTGACGCATGCCAGCTCAGCGCCTGCCTGGCTTGTTTCTTGAATTGTGTCAAATTCAGGTCTATCTTGATCCTGGGACATCCTGGGACATGGTCTGGGTTTGTCTGAAAACTGGATACCACGCAATTCCAGCAGGTTGCAACTCTAACCATTTGTTCCAAGTTGATAAATTTATGACATTTGAGATGGACTCGTTTTTGGAGAAACCAATATCCTGGGCAAAGATTCCAATCGGAACTGCTCGCCAGGCTGGCACCCATGACTTTGGATACGGTCTTCAAGTGGATCAAAGAAGCCGTTGAGGCACAGTCCAGTGATGTCCAGTGAGCCATAACAATAGAAACCGATGAAAAACTACACATACTAAAGATACCGCTACCTTATTGCTTGGGTGTGTTGGGTGTGTTGTTGCTTAAGCTTCCACCTATTGAGTTTCATGACTCCAATGACAGTGACGATTTGCTGTGAACCGATTTGTGAGCGGAGAACTTCGATGTTAGGACCCGGATGCAGCTTTGTCCCGTGAAACTTGGAGAAATTCATGATGGCTGCCAAAATCTTGCCATATGCGTTTTGAGTGTTTTTCTAGGCATATTATGCGGCATATTGGAGATATTGCAGGATATGGTGTATCTAAGGATGTGATCCGAAAGGGTGTGGCTGAACTTCAGCGCCGGGTTTCGAAAGGGGAACCTGTTTCAGAGGCTGCCTTGCTGCTAGAGATTCCAGTGGTCATGGCAGTCATGGCAGCAAAGACGGGACTTGAAAGATGTAGTAGGACAAGCATCATTCAAAATTAGTCACACACGCATCAATGGAGGATATGCTTCGAGGTAGTTTCACTGCCTCAATCCCAGCAATTCTGTGTTACCTGGAGCCACTTTGGGTAATCCTGAGGGAGAACATGGAAAGGACATTAAACATAGAGAGGTTTCCTAAAATGGGTGCACCCCTAAATCATCCATTTTTAATAGGATTTTCCATTATCAACCATCCAGCTATTGGGGTGCCCCTCATTTTAGGACACCTCCAGATGGGAATTTTCCCCTTTTGCTGCCACGCACTTCCAACTATGCATTGATGCAGAATGATGCAGATAAAATCATCGCGGAAGCTGGCAAATGCCATGAAACCTGTTGGGGATAATGTTTCATGTTTTCTTCTCCTTTCTGTTGACAATGCCCTGATTTCCTGCAGGCCTTGTTTCGATCAAAGCACGATCTCATCAACAAGTTGAAGGCGGGTACAACATGGTACAACTTGTCACGACTTTATCAACTTTTGACTTTTGACCGTAGAGACACTTCTTCACCACAGGAATCTGGCTTAGCTGATCTGGCAGAGGTGCGAGAAACTATCTGCCTGCCACGATGGTTTAACAGGGTGCTGATGACATCTGATATCATTCGATATTTTCGATGATGTTTTTCCATGGATTTTCAATGACTTTCATAGACTTTTCAGAAGCCATGCAGATTGCTGCAGAGTGCAGGAGGTGGACATTGCAATGCGAGCGTCTCAATTGGCCAAAGGATTTGCCAGAAACGTTCAGCAGGCCTGCCAGGAGCCCAAGGAGCCCAGAGAGATGCTTGGAGAACAGCAGATGGGGACAGCAGATGTTGATCGTTTTAGATGTTTTTCGTGGTAAACCATTTTGCACTCCACAAGCAATACCGGTCAATACCCAATTTTGATCCAAACAGCTCGCCTCTCGACTAAAGCACAGCTAGCCTCAGGTCTTGATGGCCAGACCATGGAGTCTATGGACCACTATGTCAAGACAGTGGTAAGGTGCTGGCCTCAGGGAGTGTTGGACTCGGAGCTGACCGATGAGCCTTGGAACTTTCAGGGGCTGTGATCGCAAAGGGTGGATGATGCGTCAGGGGCCGAGCATGTGCTGATTCAAAGCAGGTCTTTCACAATTGAAAACTGACAAAAAATCTGATGAGGTCGCGTCTTTATTCATCACTTGAGTCAAGTTGCTGCCCGAAGCCTCAAAGCAGGATTTCATCATGCCTGGCATGTGTCACTTGTCAAACTTTCGCCAAATTAGAAAAGTCTTTTTGTTCCGCGTTTCCTGAAGGAGACCAAGACGCAGCTGACAAAGCTGAGCAGTCATTGATAGACTTTGGCGCTCGTGGCATGTATTTAGTTTGCCACAGACTGCAGTGTCAACATTCAGCGCTTCAGCAGGATTCTGATTCTGACAGGCACAGTGGGTGGATGGCCTTACATCATTTCCTGGTTGAAGGAGACTCCAGACCCAGCGAAATGGCCCTCTGCTGAAGTCCTTGACCAACTGGGAACGTGCTTGCCTTCACGAAGCCCTGCCCAACTCTTTGCAGCTCTCTACGCAATTCTCTCTTCCCCCAAGCTGGGGTGCACCCCAAAGAGCCTGGTTCGCATTGAGAAGATCCTGGCGAGGAACGTCTCACAGGCTTTCAACCTCAGCACTGTGGAACATTCCATGCCTCTGATCAAAGAGATAGCTGCTAGTGGCCCCATCATCAGTGCTCGCTTCAAGACAGTTCTGAAGCTCTTGGCAGTTGCCATGGAAGTTCGAGAAGCCAGCGGGAACTTGCAAAGTGAAACATGGCAAAAACTCCTGGGAAAGATTCAGGATTTAAGGGCTGCTGTAGATGTGAAGACATCCAAGGGCTGGCAGCAACTGACCATGTCGGAGGTGGACTTTGTTGAGGAGCTCAAGGCAGTAGCTGAGCGCAGCCTGAAGATGGCTATGGAGAATGAAGAAGTCCTGCGACAGAAACAAGAATTGGTTCAGCATGGACAAGTGCAGGAGCGTTTGGAGCAGTGCCGACTGGCCGTTTTGGCAGTGGCCAATGAAGATGGACTAAAGGAGAAGACCAAAGCTGGCCTGAAAATATGTTTGATCAAGATGAAGAACCTACATGAAGCCATGCAGAAAGTAGAAGTGCCATCACCTTTTTGTACAGAAGCTTGGAATATTGGCCGTGCAGCCATTCAAGACTTCAGCGAATCCGATCTGAGATGCTGCAAAGCGTTTCAATGGCTGCGAGAGAAGAATCTGGGATTCTGTGTACGACTCCTCGACAGCTGCGGCCTACTGGAGCAACTTCACTTGATCCGAGAATCTCCGCAGAAGTTGGACAAAGTGGGCCCTTGCCTAAGTTGTGGGTGGCCCGCAGTGACAGTTTGCTTCAGGACTCATCATGAATCCCAGAATTCTCAGACATTCTTAGCTTTCTGTTCCTACCACGTTTTGCTTCACAAGCTTTCACCATCCAGAACGCACCATTTGAGTTCTGGGTGCTCTTGCCACCTACAATTCGGCCAACCTGCTTCTTAGGACTTCCCTACCGATGTTGTCAACTTCTGCTGGCCACAGCAGAAAAAGATGCTTTGTCAAAGGACACCTTTGCCCCAAAGTTGGAGGAGGCGCAGCAGTGGTACAGGCAATTTGTATCAATTTCTAGTTGTGAATGGTCACGACCGCAGGTCCCTGCGGGATGGGAGTTCGACCCTCAGAATGCAAAAAATGCCCGAGGAAAATGTAAGTTTTCTCCGAGATCACTGTGTGTGTGTATGAGGAGGAAGTTTGGTGCTGATGTTGCTGGTGTTGCTGGTGTTGCTACAGGGCCCAGTGCTTTGCTATGTGCTGAATTAATGCCCACTTGCCATATCCAGCTATGTAATGCTATGGCCAGGACAGGGGTGCTGCCCGGCAAGGGTCATTTTGACTGCGCACGCGCAGTGTTTTGTGCATGTTGGTATATTGGCCGCATGGCCACCTGGCTGACGAGACTTGTTTCTAAAACCCAAAACCTTCAATCCTAAACCTTCAATCTTGAACATCAAAACTCAAAACCTAAATCTGACATGAAACCCTAAGTAAGCCTTAAAGGGTAAAACAACCTTGTTAAAACTGTGGCAAAAAGTCTAAAACCCTAAAAGACCCCCCTAAATAAACCCTAAAGAGTTGGTCATATGATAAACCTTTGGACGGCACCCCCTTAGAAAATTATGTATACTGTCTATGTAACTCCGACCCGGTGGTAAAGATGAATGCTGATAATGTTGCACTGAAGTGTGTCGGCTTAAGCTGATGTTGTGTAGTGGGTGCCATAACTTCCTGGGTAACCCTTGCACGGCCTGTCGAACACTCTCGAGAATCCATTTTCTGGTCGAGCGCAACCAGCTGCCGCCGGCGGTCGAAGGCAAGGTGGTGAGCGCTTTGCGTGTGGCTGCAGGGGAGATTTGTGATCTCGTGGAGCAGCACGGGATCTTCAGACCCAGTGGTCCTCCGGGAGCAGCTGCTCCTGACAGAGGGGTAAAGAAGACTGGGAAGGAGGAGCCTGCAGCCGCTGAGAGTTCGGCAGGAGGACGGGAGGAATCAGAGAAAAAGGAGGACGTAGAAGGGACCCGAAAAGTTAAGGAGAAGAAGAAGGACAAGAAAGACAAGAAAAGGAAGGCTGAGACGGGAGTGGAGGAGACTCCTGCAGTCACAGGTGAAGAAGGACGTGAAGAAGAGGAAGACCCAGAGAGGGTTAGGATTGCGAAGGCTACGCCTTTGAGTCGGAGAGAGAAGAAAGACAAGGATCCGCAATCTGCTGTCGATCATTACGTGTCCGAGCACCCTGAGGTTTTTGGACTTGGCTCTATCCCCATCCGGGGGTCAGCTGCCAGGCACTTCAAGGAGAGCGACGAACGGAGGAGAGAGAGACAGCAGAGCCCGTTGGGCCACCGCCCCGAAGGGCAGCGGAGGAGAGACCGCGAGAGAGAGAAGACAGAGATCAGAGGCAGAGGTCCCGGTCCAGGAAAAAGTCGAAAGGAGAAAGCCACAGGAAGAGAGGTAGAGATTTCTGGCGCCGCGTCAAAGAACAGGAGAAATGGCACCGAAAGCAAAACCAAAGGCAAAGGCAAGGAGGGCCCGGCCACCGGTGAGGAGCAAAGGAGGAGCGGGAGTTCCCAGAGGGGGGACTCCTGGGTTGAAGCGGCCCGCCACTTCGAAGTTACCCGTGCAAAAGAAGGAGAAGCAGGTCAAAGCCATGGACTTGGAGCTGGAAGCCGCGAAAAGATGGAAGGCGGGGTACTCGGTAATGCTGAGGTTACTCGATCCCCGGGAGCTGGAGAGGTGCGCAGGCCTGGTGGTGACGGAAGCCACCTACTACCACTGAAAAGTCACCCTGGCAGGCAAAGTCAGGAGCGTGACGATGAGTGGTGGCGCCGTGCACTTGAGGATGAGATTGAGCGGGACAGGAGACGAGGACCTCCTGCGGCTTCATACGGGCCGAGCAGGATGGGAAGTGAGAGCCCACATTTGTGGGACCGATTGCAATCAGGAGGAGGCAGCCGAAGATTTGGTCCATGTTCAGGTGGGACGCCCGATGAAGGCGGAAGGCGCAGACGAGGTGTGTGTGACGAACCTAGAGCCCCACTGCGAGGCAGAAGCCAGAGGAGACGAGATGGGTCCCCTGAGGGCGCATGCGGGGCTAGACCCTGGAGCAGAGGGACTGGGGGCAGCAGGAGCCCCTCCCGAGAAGGCGCCGGGGGAGAAAGAAAAGAAGAGGAGAAAAGAAAAGAAGTCCAAGAAGAAACAGAAGAAAGAAAAAGAGGGGGCGGACTCCGACGGCTCCGGAGATGCAGTCCCGTTAGATGGCAGCCGGCCGCGTCTGGCCAATCAGAAAAGGGCCCGGTGGCTTTTTGCCGGGACGGGCTTGGATCCCAAGGATCGCATCCGCAACCTGGTCGCGAGAAAGGCGAGGAAGTTTCTGAGGAGGAAGACAGAGAAGTCCTCGACGTCGGGCAGCGGGAGCAAGAGTCAGAGCAGCTCCTTGGAGGATGCCGGCGAGATGGAAGAGTCCATCTTCGAGCAGAACTCCAAGGTCAGGTCAGTGGCGGAGCATTTTCCAGGGGCGCTGTCAAACCAGACCTTGCGGTCGATGCGCTCGACCCTCCTCCAGGAGATTGGAGTGGAGGACAAGGTCAACACTTTGCCAGCAGTAGCCATTTCCTACTACCGCCAGCATCTGCAACGCAAGGCGAGCGGGCCTACAGCGAGAGAGCTGATGACGCTCTGTCATGCGGTGGACCAGCTGGTGCGAGCGCGTCCAGCCAGTGCGATGGATACGATGCTACAGCGCGTCAAGTCCATCGAGCAAAGCCTGAGTGGCAGCCACTGGTCGGTGAGTCAACGGCAGGAGATACTCCCCTCCGACTCTACGACGCTCACCCCGGTCCCGGAGGCCACCAGCGCACAGAAGGAGGTCTACCAGGAGGCGAGAGCAAGGTGGTGGTCCACGTTCCCGGAAGGGAGAGCTCCCCGTGGAGGCAAGGGGAGTGGAAAGAGCAAAGGAGAAGGAAAAGACAAGAATGCGAACAGTGGCGACAGGGATCGGAAAGGCACCAAAGGAGGCGGAGGGAAAGCAGAAGCCGGCAAGAAGAAGGAAGGCTGACCTTGAAGACAGCCGAGAGAGGAGAAGCAGCGGGGGCAGTAGCCCCTGAGATTTCAGGAGGGAGCGCCCAACCAGAGGAAGACTGGCATTATAAAGGAGGGGTGGAAGCGGCCTCCTTGCCTGGTTGTGACCCGGGCGTGGGAAGGAAGCATGGTTACTCCGACCATGAGTATGACTTCTTTCCTGACTTTTTGCATGGAGCCTCGGCGAAGACCCGAGATGGACGAATTCATGAACTAGAAGATGGGCGGCCTGGGCCTAGCGGTCCTGCTTTTGCGGTTGCAGCCTCCGAGAAGACGAGCTGTGATGCAGCGGGCGCCCTGGGAAAAAAGGATGCGCAGCCGAACCCTGAGTTGAAAACTTTGAGTGGTATGGGGGTTGTTCTTCTTCAGAATCTCATGGAAGTTTTTCCACTTCGCAGCCAGCCCATGGGGGGGGTCTATTAGGTCTCTTTTCCCTCTCCCTACTTCCATTGAGTTTTTTCTGGAGTTGCAGCCTGAATTGAGTGAGGATGAGTTGAACTGGTTGTCATGTGTGGTGTGGTCTCTCAATTCTCTGTGGGGATCAGAAGTAACTGCAGTGCTTCCCCCTAACAAGGGACAAGCACGGTGTCTCAAGGAGCTTTGCAGTCGGGAAAATTTTTTTTGCAGTATGAGCTGCCTGCTGTGTGAAGTGAGCTGGGATGAATTTTTCCTTGTCAAAGGGGTCGACTATCGAGGGGAGGAGGTCAAAGTTGGCCGCTGGTTCCAGTGGAAAAATATTGCCCCGGCTCTGCCGGCTGAGATTGGCAGAGTTCCCCTGGAAGAGGTCTGCAGTTTGGGTTGTAAACATTATGTGATGCATTTTGATGACTACCTAAAACCCCCGAATGAGTGGCGTGCGGTGCGTGCTCCGAGAGTTATGGTTCATGACTCTTCGTGGGGAGCAGTTTGCACTGGTCTCGTGTCCTCCGGGGTTTGTACTTGGGTAGAGGAGTCAGAAGTGTTTCACATTGATGATATCCCTCTCCTTAATGGACTTTTTGGAGTCACTAAGGAGGAGTTCACTGATCAAGGGGTGGAGATCTTCAGGCTGATCATGAACTTGATCCCCCTGAATGCTCTGTGCAAGCCCCTTGCGGGAGACGTGGACACTTTGCCCTCCTGGGGTACTATGAGCCCGTTGTTTCTGCAACCCAGTGAGCGTTTGGTTGTCAGTTCTGAGGACGTCAAGTGCTTCTTCTACACGATGCGAGTTCCCCCGTGCTGGGTGAAATATCTGGCCTTCAACAAGCTGGTCCCAGATGAGGTGTTACCGGCGCATTTGCAGGGGCGTCGAGTGTACATTGCCTCTCTGGTGCTTCCAATGGGGTTTCTCAACAGTGTGAGCCTTGCGCAGCACGTCCACCGAAACTTGGTAGGGTGGTCGCGGGATTATCATCCTGAACTGGCGGGTGCGCACAATGCCCCTGAACAGGAGTTGGCAAGGACAGGAGCTTCACTGTGAATAGTGCACCCTGGCGGGTCTACCTAGACAACTACGACCTACTGGAGAAGGTGCAGGCTACCGAGTTAACCCAGGTGGAAGGGACAGAGGCTCCCGGGGTTCTTGCCCTGCGACAAGAATATGAGAAATGGGAGGTGCCACGAAATGAGAAGAAATCAGTACAGAGGTCCTTGAGATGTGAGATGCAAGGTGCGATCATTGACGGGGAACGGGGTACTGCTTACCCTCGGGAGGTCAAGCTGGGAAAGTATTTTAGCTTGGCATTATCCTTGGTGGGTGCCGCTGGTGGGACACAGAAGCAGTGGCAAGTCGTCTGTGGGGGGCTGGTCTATGTCAGCATGTTTCGGCGGCCTCTTTTGGGCAGCCTGAACGCAGTATGGCAACACATTGAGGGTTTCAAAGATGGTAGCAGGCAGTGGCGAGCTACGCCTCCTGATTGCCGCTTGGAGATTTTGCGGTTCTTAGGCATGTTCCCACTGGCTTGTATGAATTTTCGGTTGGAAGTTCACCCCACGGTCACCTGCAGCGACGCTTCCTCCTTTGGAGGGGGGATTTGTGCTTCAGTAAGTACTACCGCCACAGGCAGTCTCATGGCAGCAGGAAACCTGAGGGGCGAGGAGCCCGAGCCCCGAATCGATGGAGCCGTATTGGCCATCGGATTGTTCGATGGGATCGGTGCCCTTCGAGTCGCTCTGGAGCTGATTGGAGTACCAGTTCTGGGTTATGTGTCGGTAGAGAAACATGGCCCTGCGCGTCGTGTGGTGGAATGCCATTACCCCGGGGTGATCCATTACCCTGATGTCCAGGCCATTGTGCTGGAAGATATCCGAAATTGGGCCACTCAGTTCTCGCAGGCCAGCATGGTGGTAATTGGAGCCGGGCCGCCCTGCCAGGGCGTGAGCGGGTTGAATTGCGACCGCAAAGGGGCCCTGAAGGATGAGCGATCTTGTCTTTTCTCAGAAGTACCCAGGATCCGAGACGAGGTAAAAAGGGTGTTCAAGTGGTGCCCGGTGTTTGTCCTGATGGAGTCGGTGGCATCCATGGATCAAGGTGATCGCAACATCATGACTGCGGGCGTTGGTGTCGCACCATTGCGGTGTGATGCCGGCTCCTTGACGTGGTGCCACCGCCCGCGCCTTTACTGGTGCGATTGGGAAATTGTGGGGGCGCCAGGTTATCACGTGTCGGACACCCTGGAAGGGATGAAGGAACTGTGGTTGGATGGTTGCCAAGATCCAGTGGAGGTCATTCGGAATGGGTGGGCGAAAGTTGATGCCACCAAGGCTTTCCCCACCTTTACCACCTCACGCCCGCGGAGCAGACCCGGCCGCAAACCGGCGGGAGTGCAGCAGTGCTCCTGGGATGAGTTGAAGAGGTGGCAAGACGATTTGCATCGTTTTCCGCCGTATCAGTACTGCGCGGGAAACTGCCTCGTCAACAAAGACAACGTTCTCCGTTTGCCGGACGTGTCTGAGCGAGAACTCATGATGGGCTTCCCCCTCAACTACACGGCCAATTGCTATCCAAAAGGAAGGCGTCAAGGTCCTGATTATGCGGACTGCCGCCTCACTCTTCTAGGCAACAGCTGGAGCGTGGTGGTCGTGGCATGTCTGTTCAACCAGCTGTTTAGCCGCCTGGGCTGGACTCCTTTGCGGACCCCCCAGGAACTGCTGGACCGATGTGCCGCTGGCGGGTGTCCCTCTGCGCAGGGGCGTCTGACCCGGTGGCCCTTGAACCCCACCCGAAAGGTGGCTCCGGACACCTCGGGACAGCTGGCAAACAGGCTGGCCAACCTCATATCTATAAAAGGCGAAGATATATTGCTCAGCACCCCCACTTCACAGCTCACAAAATTCCACCGGCTGCGAGCCTCGGTGCCAGGAAAGTGCTGGAAGTGGAAAGTCGTTGCACGCTGGAAGTGGCGCCGTAGCGGGGATCATATTAATGGCCTCGAACTACGTGCCATTCTGACTTCAGTTCGATGGCGTTTGGAACATGCAGGTCACTTCAAAACCAGATTCATCCATTTGACGGATAGCTTGGTTTGTCTTCATGCTCTCAGTCGTGGGCGTAGTAGCTCACGAAAGCTGAGACGAACGATGTCTCGGATCAACGCACTCATCTTGGCCTCGGGCACCCACCCCCTGTGGGGATACATTCATACAGATCAGAACCCAGCGGACAAACCCTCTCGATGGGGGAGGGGAGTCCGTTCCAAATTCCGAAATGCCAAAGCGTAAGATTTTGGAAGGTGCTGAGGTCAGTGATCGTGCGAAACAGAGACAAGAGCTTGGAAGACTAAGTGATTTGACAGTGCAGCCTGCTACAAGAAAACGCTATCGTAAAGCAACAGATGCCTTTTTCTCATTTCTTCGAACTGGACGACTCGGAATTCCTACTAGACGTGACCAATTTGACCTTCTGCTTTGTGACTACTTGGAACACCTCTGGAGCACAGGGATAGGAAGGGGACAGGCCAATGACACTGTTGCGGGACTTCAAGATTTGCAGCCAAATTTGCGGCATCACCTTCCGGGAGCATGGAGGCTCCTGAAAACGTGGGCAATCAACGAAGTCCCCAACAGGGCACCTCCCTTGCCTGAGCAAGTAGTCCATGCCATGGCGGGATGGGTTTTTTTCCATGGCCACAACTCATTTGCTGTCTCTTTGCTGATAGGTTTCTATACCATGTTGCGGTCTGGTGAGCTGCTAGGGCTTCGATCTTCTCATGTTTTGTGCGCTCCTCGGGACCGTCAAGTGCTTATTTCCCTAGGTTTGACCAAGGGAGGCAAACGGCAGGGAGCTGCTGAATCAGTGATTTTAGGGATTGAGTCTGGAGTGGCTGTAACTCAGCAGTGGAAACGCCTTACGAGCGCCAACACTTCTTTAGCTCGCTCGCCGGCAACGTGGAGAAGTCTTTTTACTCAGAGTCTTTCGGCATTAGGGTTGGAAAAATTCCAGTTTCGTCCTTACTCACTCCGAAGGGGTGGAGCAACTTTTTGGTTTCAGAAACATCAAAATTTGGACCGTATCCTGCTGCAGGGGCGCTGGCTGGCCCACCGAACAGCGCGGATATATATCAATGAAGGCCTTGCTATGCTGGCCAAAACTCAGATTGATTTTCACAATGCCAAACTTCGTTCTTTTTTGAATATTTACCACCAGACCGTGACAAAGCCACGGTTCTCCACACTTGAGCCTCCAGCAGCAGCTGGAAGTGCTGGGGGACGTGGAAAGAGTGGAAAGAACAAGGGATGCAGGGCGAGGAAGCGCGTCAAAAAATGCATTTTTTCTGCTGATCAGGGGTGACTAACTAATTCTTGGGTGACAGGAAGCCAGGAGGTGTGGCTCGGCTTTTTTCCTGTCAAAGAATTGGACGATATGCTCAACCACCCAGGGTTTGGCCGGGTGTATGGAGCACGTTTTGCCGGGGATCTGGCTAGTAGTCACTCCCTGATGCTATCTTTTTTGGTCTCGATTTTATTTCTGTTTTGACAAACTCGCTGCGAAGTGGTGCAAAATGTTAAGCAGCTCATCTTTGTAACTCCGACCCGGCGGTAAAGATGAATGCTGATAATGTTGCACTGAAGTGTGTCGGCTTAAGCTCCCGAACCCTCCCATCCCAGTGGAAAGAACAAGGGATGCAGGGCGAGGAAGCGTGTCAAAAAATGCATTTTTTCTGCTGATCAGGGGTGACTAACTAATTCTTGGGTGACAGGAAGCCAGGAGGTGTGGCTCGGCTTTTTTCCTGTCAAAGAATTGGACGATATGCTCAACCACCCAGGGTTTGGCCGGGTGTATGGAGCACGTTTTGCCGGGGATCTGGCTAGTAGTCACTCCCTGATGCTATCTTTTTTGGTCTCGATTTTATTTCTGTTTTGACAAACTCGCTGCGAAGTGGTGCAAAATATTAAGCAGCTCATCTTTATATATATATATGATGTATATAATATAAATTTAAATACATACATACGCAATATACATACATTTCTGATCTGGATTTTGTGTATACGAAATTCGCATGCTCCCAACATCTCCAACCCCCGTTTGCTGTCCCTTTCTCCTGCCTTAACCACTACATCATATTGACTCTGAAAGACGTGTGATGAATAAGACACAAATTTCCAAAGTGGTGGTAGAAAGAATAGTGTGTACAGGCGCGATATGCGCTAAAATAGATACTTTCAGACACAAAATGGATCGTGTCGACTCATATCTTCATGCCAAGCAAGGCAGAACACTTCTAGACACCTGAACTTGCAGTACTTTCAAAAGGAGGCCTGATGATTCTGTGATTCTGATAGCCTTGTGTTGCAGCATCACTAGTTGCACCTGAAAAACGTCTCGACCGTCTCGCAGGGCCAGATGCAGTGGGCTTTAGACTCAGTGAATTAGCGATATGAAGACAGAAACAAACAGCCTGCTCTACAAGCGACACAGCTGAAGAATGGCTTTCTCTTTTAGTTCACTTTGACCTTAAGACCTTAGAAAGTTGACCTGGCTTAGTATCATCGACAATACTGTACCATACTGTACCCCAAACCATGGATTAAAACCCTCAAGATTGGCTGCCTGGGATGCCATGAACTTCCGGCCATTGGGTGAGGAATGGCCTTTGCCTGTCAACTTGGTGCCTTGGAGGCTGTGATCATAGCTGATCATACCGATTTCGGCCATGCATTAGTGGTGAATCTCCCCCCAATGAGGTGATGTTGAGCCATGAGGCAGTCTGTTGATGTGGACCCTGTGATTTTGTGAAGGAATGACGGCGGTGTGGACGGATCCACTAGTGAACAGTGGCAGCAGCAGGATGAGGCACGATTTTTTTGGGCGCTGTTCACACCCTGCAGCCCAGATCGCTGAGTTGCGAAAAGGACCATGCTATACCGGAAGCGAAACACTTTGCCCCTGACCCATCCAGCTCAGTGTCAGGAACTTAATGGTGAAAGTGTGGTGAAAGTGTCCAGCATCCGGCCAAAATGATGACATTCTTGGAGAGTACCAAAATAGATGTTGCCAGGGGGTCTTTCTTCCCTGCACCATTTGATAGGACAGCTTTGGATGACTGTCCGTACAAAGAAGGCGGGCTTCTGCAGTCCATGCTGTTCAGAGCTTACAACTGCACCAAGCAGCATACATATACCGCCAAGCTATCTGATTGCCGAAAGCGCAGGCAGCCGGTGCTTGTTATGCTTGGAGGATTTCGATGACGAGCACGAATCTTCTTCAATGCATGGCTGGATCTCCTAGCTTTGCAAGAATCATTCGTATCATTGGATCATTGCTGTGATTATAGTGCCGGTTATTTTCGGTGGATCACCTTTATAAATTGGGAGACAAACGAAGGGTTTTTCCAAGCTGGATGAAGCTTTGCCGAGGCCAGCACATGAAGTTCTGGAAGCAAATCACAGATCGCATGGCGATGCTCTGTTTGGACCTGGAGAAGTTACCCCAGGTGGCAATAGCCATGGGACCATTGGAATGGGTCACCACAGGCTACGATTCCCCAAAATTGTTCAAAGGGACTACTACAGTCTACTATAGTCCACTACAGTCTACTATGGTATCCCATAGTAAAAACATGTAAAAACAGTTTATCCAACATAACTTCCAGGGACTCAGACCAGGACGGCTATCGTCAAATGGGCCTGGCATCTGCGTGGCGTGGAGAGTTGTGGCAAGCCTTGCGAGTGAGTCCAGCTCCACCGAAGAGTGCCACGACCTCAGCCCATTGGGGGAATCTGCAGAATGAAATGGAACCGCAAATTGCAGATGAGAGACACGAGAAAGGTTGTGTGTATACTAATATATATACATACGTATATATATATATACACATACTGTATATATATATATATGTAAATATGCACATGTCTGCAGTCTAGAGAAACTTATATAGAAAAACATACAAAGTGGCTTGATGATGCTTGATGGAGATTATCATAATGTTTGACACTGCAATATGAGAACCCATATCAACCAACAAAGCAACCAGTAGGTTTGGGAATGTTGCTTGATGGCTTTATGAGATGACCTGACACCTGGTTTCTCTCAAAAAAAGCTGGGATGATACATCCTGGTACGAGGGAGTCATAGGGAGTCGTTCTTGGATTGTGTGGAAGTGTGGAATGGAAGTGCTTTTTTTGAGGTTTTGGCACCATTCTGGCAGAGAGTCGTTCTTCGACACCTTGCTCCCGCAGATTCAACTTCAAAGAATGATCGGGTGCCGTGAAGCACGTGTTGCATTTTGGGCCCATCTTTAGTGAAGATTTTACTTGGCTGTGTCGAGACCCTTAAGAAGAAACTTCCACTGCATCCAATGTGTCATGGCAGGAAACAGCTGCTGGCTTGCAGGCCCTTTTGAAAGAGGCTCTTAAGGCAGGGCTTAGAGGATTAGAACATCATAGAACTGCCCAATGTTTTGCCAATGGCTTTGCCAATGGCTTTGCCAATGGTTGGGATTCTTTTCTTCATGGGATTCTGAGGCCGCGAGAGGAGCGGGAAATGAGTCCCAGGAGACGAGTCAAGAGAAGGCGGAGAAGGACATCTCTGCTGCTGTCGCCTCCCTCGACAAGAGAGTGTCAGGTTCGACTTCCGACGGTTGGTGGTTTGGAATGTCTGGAATGTCTGGAATGTCTTGAAACTTCCATTCCCGTAAGTAACTTGGATGAGGATCACCCATGACTAATAATGTCTGGGGGAGGGTGGAACTGCCAACCTGAAATTTATTGACAATGTTTGAACTTGTCCAAGTCTGCTCTAGTCCGACTTGCTACCCGCAGCCTCGTTGAGGTCTTACCAACATTTCCATCACACCAGCTGTTTCGCTCCCAGCTTGGTGATCCTGGAAATCCTGATTAGCAGTTCATGATATCAATGATATCCCTTGTTCTTTGAGGTGGCTGCGCTGAAGGATCTTCGTTTGACTGTGATTTCATCTTCGTTGTACTCCAGCGACACCAGGCTCTCAAAATCAAATCATCCCGATTGGTCCCGATTCCGTAACCTGGAACATTGGAACAACATAGGGTGGACTACGGTGGACCACAGAATGCCATAGCGGTTTTCTGTGGACAGGTCAGACATCTTGGATCATGCCTTGAAGGCCCTGCGACAGGCTGAGGCCGGAAGGGTACAGCACCAAAGTCAAGCACTCTGAACATTGAGGCACTTAAGGCTGAAGAGAATCATCGCTTCTTAAAGACTTTCTTGCATGGCAGCCTGTGAGGTGTTGTGTTTTTTTTTGGCTTAGTCTTTCTACAACACTTCTGCGACCACAACCTTCAGCTTTGGGCCGAAAAAGGATTTTTTTCTAGCTCCCGACAACCGCTTGTCTATCATGGGAGCAGCTTCTTCGGCGATGCCGCGCAGCAGCCTCAAGTGTTTCCAGTGATTCGATGCTGTGCTGGGGTGAGGGGCTCACGATGATAGGAGAAACGTACTATTTGTTGTATCTTGTTGTATCTTGTTGTCATGATTCATGACGATCCCAAGAAGTATGCGAGGTCCAAACCTTTTTCTTTGGTTGCAGAGGATGTTTTTTGGTTGCTGTGTTCAGGTCGAGAGCCGAAAAGCTCTCCGAGAAGACTGTCGGGACCCGATAGTCTGTTCATCCGCCCGGCGCATTAACGTAGAAGCTATTGGAGCCAAGGTCAACCACTTGTGTTGCCCTGTTGATATCATCATCTTTGGCATTGAGCTGGGTACCACCTGGACGCAGCTTGGCAGACTTGGCAGAATAAACTATGAATATGATCATTTGATCATGATTGAATAAGATTGAACCATTGAAAAATACAGAGGTATGATATATAATAATAATGATATATATATATATATTTCTACATATGCCTTATATGTAACAAACGTGTGGGGATTCTTGTCTCACTTTTAGTCTGCCGGTCGACAGGAAACCTCGCCAGACGAGCAGTACCCTACGGATCGCCTCAGGACTGATCTGATTTTCACTCCCAGAGGGGTAAGCTGAAATCTAGAGGAACTTTCCCTGTCATTTGGAGGTAAAAAACATGAAACAAAACATTGTTTTCTGTAGATTTCCCTGTCAACATCATCTAATTCATTAAGTCACAACTTGCATAGAATCTATGTGCAGCAGGAACAGCTGGCGGCTGTTGCCAATTCACTGCGAAGGGAACGCGCAGTGCTTGAGCAGAAAAAGCAGCAATTACAAAGGACAGGCTCTTTAAGTTGGAATCCAACAAGTATTCCGCAGATATTCTGGTAATTTTGTGAATTTCGCATTTCTGTATGGAAGGACTGCTTTGGCAATACAGAAGCAAAAGGAAGAGATTGAGGACGTGCGGAGCGGTGCAACAATGGAACCATCGTTGAGTTTGTGGATGAACTATGATGAACTTGAGTTTTGCCATTTGGGTTTGTCAACAAATAGGGTATACATCCCAATTTTCCCCAAATGCCATTGGTTATTTTATGATCAATGCGAGAATTGCCATGTGGGATTTCTCCCAGTCCCAGAAGTCCCATTCCAGGATGATCTGCAAAATCAGGTGGTGGCAATCAGAAAGTCCAAATCCAAAGCAGAGCAGGCGATCCAAAAAGAGCGTGAGGCGCTTCAGAACGAGAAGCTGCGCTTGGCCGAAGAATCTCAGGCTCGCAGGTCACGCTCGACATATGGACATCTTTCGGGATTCCAGATGGCCAGATGGGTGATTTTTGGGGTGAAACGGTGAAACCGTCATAAATTAACCAGTGGATTTTTGGGACCCAATTTGGACAAAGCCAGTTTTTTCAAGAACAATACAGGTATCATCAGCTGGTTCGTGGCTTTGAATGTGTTGTTTTCAATCATTTTCATCTCTGGAAAGCGGAAAGTGGAAATTTTGTGGGAGAATGATCCCCTACCAATATTCTTGGGGGTTGACATGACCAACAAGTCAGTCATCAGTGGGCGAAGGGCTTGCAGATGTGTGAGGCGCTTGTTGCACGGCAGCAGCAATTGATGGAAGCCGCAGAAGAGATGAGCTCGTGCGAAGCTGAGTGACTCCGCTCGTCGTGATGTATGTCTCTTGTTTGCCATGAGGCCATGCCCAAGTCGAGGTATCATTGGATAGTATATATTATATAGCATATACATGCATATGACATTAATTGTAAATAATAAGTCATCCAATTCTTGAGATCTACAGCTTTGAGCTACATAGAACCCATTTTCTAGGTGCGCATCTCTGCAACTAAGGTCCTCAGGACAACAAGAGCGCGAAGAGCTGATTGCATCGGTCAACAGAGAAAAGGCACTGCGACTAATTTAATACCGGATACCCCAATAGCTGGATGCTTTATTTCATGGTAAAATCCACCCCAAAAATGGGATGATTTGGGTACCCGCTTTTTAGGAAACTGTCAGATGAGGGAAGCCCGGGAAGCCCTGAAATTGAAAAAAAACAAGATTTGCTGACCAGGCAAAATTCTCAAGAACGGCTGAAGCAGTAGCTGAAGCGATAGTTGTCCCAAGTCAAGGCCAAGTTGCAGAGTGTGGCAACCTGCAAAGGCTGCCTTGGCAAGGGAGCGAGAGCAGCTGAAAAGACAAGCAGAGGCCAGGGACATGTGCAGGGAAGCCTTGAGTGAACTCAAACTTACTTTGGTTTTTGGTTTGAATTTAGACATGATAGATCATGATAGAATATGGATTGAAGGGACACATTTAGAAGAAGACCCTTGATACCCTTGTGTTTGAGGGTTAAAAACCATATTTTCCTGTAGCATTTTCCCTAAATTCTCAAAACAGGCCATCCAGGCAGCTCGCCAGCAGCTTGTCACCAGCATGAATAGAGGCGGGCACTGTCGAGGATCCTTCCAGAACTCTTGCGCTTCGCCAACAGATTGATCACAAGCAGTTACAAGCAGATTTTGCTTTCACAAGATGAAGCTGTGGCTGGCATGATTCTTGATGAGGGCAAGAGGTAGAGGATCTCCGCTTGAAAGCGCAGGAGCTAGAGGATGAGGCCTGCTGCGACATCATAGCTGGATTCACACATTAATGAGTCTGGTGGTTTCCCTTTGCTGATATCTTTATCAATCAGTTTTATTATTTATTGTTTTCGTATTTGTTTGCCAAAACTTTCATTTATTGTTTTCTTCATGTATATTCCATTATTTTGCTTTCCATTCTGCTTTCGGTTTCCCAGATTTCTTGGTGATTTCACACATTTTCATGGTTCAAAACTTAACACATCTTCAACATGGTTCAACCCCAGGGGGGTTTTCCATGAGTTTTTCCCATGGTTTTTCCATGGCTTTTCCAGCAGGCGGATGCCTTGCGCCGTGAGCGGGCAGCTCTGGAAGCGCAGCGCCGGCGCATCCGGGCAGAAGCCGAGGAGATGTGACTGCGATGATTATTAGATACATGATATTACTAGATGTTGGGTTGTGGTTGTGCACCCGAAAACAAGTGGGTTTAAGTTTGATGACTGGCTGTTTGGCCGTCTCCGAGTTTGACTTTTCTCTACTTCGTCGCTTTTTTATTCAGCTTACAGCTGAAGGATATTGCCGAAGAACGAGAGATCCTCGAGGAGAAGGCCAAAAAGATCCACCGAGCAGTCAGCCGTTGCTTCCTTAGCTGTAAATTAATAGTGGCGGCCCCAAGCATAGCCAGAATCCTTCGACTCAGGTGGAAACAAAGCGGTTCCGGCAGATAAAGATTTGCTGGAATCCTTGCGTGCTGCAGCCTCTTGACATCTCTTGACATCAATTGTCTAATGTTCCTGGATTTGAAACCAACCAGCAAGTGCTTTCAACTTTGACTCTTTGCAAAGTCTATCTAGGTCAATCTGATGTGGTCTTTGCCGAGTCTGCTTTTGAAAACCCAAGGAAAAGCAACTGGCTCAACAGACCGCAGAGTTTCGTTCCTCGGAGCATCGGACAGGATGGTTGCTTCAAAATCAAGTATGCCAGTATTCATATTATGGTGGCAAATGCTGGCATGTCTGTAATTTTCTTGTGGATCACACTGCAAAGTGAGGCAACTTTAAATGGCGCGTTGAGAGTGAATCCAAGTCCATCGAAGAGCGTGCTCTAGCAAAAGCAGCCAAACCACTCTTGCTGGTCTTGGACGACTTGAATAGGGCGAAGCTGGCTGGGGTTGCCAAAGGACTGGCCATCGATGTGGTCTCATCATAGAAACTGCAGTGGCACCGTCAATGGCAAAGTTGCCAGAGGACTAGCCCGAGAGGATGTCAAGCAGGTTCTGCGACCGCTGCGGAGAAGATTGGTAGAAGCTCGCTGGCAGTGTTGCCCAAGCTGGTTTGCTGTCGTTGGGCCCGTTGGGGGGCAATTCTTGTCATTGACCGTCATTGACCTCAAGCATCTTCTAACACCGATCTAAGGGAGTGTTGGAGTCTGAGTTCAACGTGCGCCCAATGCCAAATTCAGTTGGTCAGGCAAGCATCGGCGCCAAGTCTGCGTTGTCACTGAAGCTAGTCATGATACAACTCGAACAGCAGGTTGCTTTCGCATTCACTTGAAGATTCCAGGTTTTAATATTCACACAGGATCTGGTTGATTTCATTATCACGAAAGCCAGCCGCTAGGCTAGGCGAAGTTATTTTTGCGAACAAAGTGAGTTTAGGGGGTCTGGGGGCAGAGCGCCCCTAACGGATCAAAAATCGCGAAATTAGGTGGTAAAAAAGGTGGACCGAGGTAAACTTTTTTAGGGTTATGTACCAGGTGGCAATTGGGCGACGGTGGGGCATCGATTCCCCCTCTGGTCCGCCCTCCGAGCTCGACTTGGGGAGATTGCAATGGAGGGGAAAATGAGGGAATATGACATAAAACAATTGGAAAAAAGTGGAAAATTTGAGTAGAACGCTTGGAAAATGATGCCAAGTATAAAATAAAAGTAAAAGGATGGAAATTGATGGGGTGGAAAAACAATGGAAAAATTGAGGCTCCGATGTGGGACCATTATCGCGTAAAGCACGCGTGAAACAATGGAAAAGCAATGGAAAAATTGCGGTTTCGATGTGTGACCACTATGGAGTAGAAGCACGGAAATAAAACCATGGAAGAAACGAGCAAAACCGTTTATACGGTGCAACGGTAGGGATTCTGGGAGGTGCATTTGGGTAAGCGTTAGACACACTGAGATAATATTCGGGTAATGATGGAGAAATCAAGTAACACCATGGCAAAACACTGGACAAATTGATGAGATGGAAGGATGAATTGATAGCGTAAACTATGGGACGATTGAGTAAAACTGGAGGAAAAACTGTGAAAACAACACTGGGGAGACTGGAATGGAGGGGAAAATGATGTCGAGTAAAACTATGGAAAAGCAATGGAAAAAGTGTGGCTTCGATGTGAGACCATTAGCGATGGAAAAGCCATGGAAAAATTGAGGGACTATGACATAGAAGTGGAGTAAAACAATGGAAAAAACAATGGAAAAAATGCAGCTCTGATGTGGGACCAAAATGATGCCAAGTAAAATAAGAGTAAAATGACGGAAATTGATGGGATGGAAACACAATGAAAAAATTAAGGCTCCGATGTGGGACCATTATATGTGCAAGAAGAGTTTCTGGGTGAAGAGTCTTTAGGTGAAAAGTATATGGGTGAAAAGCATGTGCAAGAAGAGTTTCTGGGTGAAGAGTCTCTGGGTGAAAAGTCTGTGCAAGAAGAGTTTCTGGGTGAAGAGTCCCTGGGTGAAAAGTATATTGGTGAAAAGTATGAGCAAGAAGAGTTTCTGGGTGAAGAGTCTCTGGGTGAAAAGTATATGGGTGAAACGTAGGTGCAAGAAGAGTATCTGGGTGAAAGTAAAAGTATATGGTGAAAAATATGTGCGAGAAAAGTTTCTAGGTGAAGAGTCTCTGGGTGAAAAGTATATGGGTGAAAAGTATGTGCAAGAAGAGTTTCTGGGTGAAGAGTCTCTGGGTGAAAAGTATATGGGTGAAAAGTATGTGCAAGAAGAGTTTCTGGGTGAAGAGTCTCTGGGTGAAAAGTATATGGGTGAAAAGTATGTGCAAGAAAAGTTTCTGGGTGAAGAGTCCCTGGGTGAAAAGTATATGGGTGAAAAGTATGTGCAAGAAGAGTTTCTGGGTGAAAAGTATATGGGTGAAATGTATGTGCAAGAAAAGTTTCTAGGTGAAGAGTCTCTGGGTGAAAAGTATATGGGTGAAAAGTATGTGCAAGAAGAGTTTCTGGGTGAAGAGTCTCTGGGTGAAAAGTATATTGGTGAAAAGTATGTGCAAGAAGAGTTTCTGGGTGAAGGGTCTCTGGGTGAAAAGTATATGGGTGAAAAGTATGTGCAAGAAGAGTTTCTGGGTGAAGAGTCTCTGGGTGAAAAGTCTGTGCAAGAAGAGTTTCTGAGTGAAGAGTCTCTGGGTGACAAGTATAGTGCAAGAAGAGTTTCCTTCTGGGCTGAAAAGTATAGGTGGTGAAAAGTATATGGGTGAAAAGTATGTGCAAGAAGGTTTCTGGGTGAGAGTTTTTGAAAAAGTGGCGAAAAGTATGTTGTCAAGAAGAGTTTCTGAGTGAAGAGTCCTCTGGGCGCTCTGTGCATGAAGAGTGAAGTTTCTGGTGAAGAGTCTCTGGGTGACAAGTATGTGCAAGAAGAGTTTCTTGGTGAAGAGTCTCTGGGTGAAAAGTATATGGGTGAAAAGTATGTGCAAGAAGAGTTTCTGGGTGAAGAGTCTCTGGGTGAAAAGTATATGGGTGAAAAGTAAGTGCAAGAAGAGTTTCTGGGTGAAGAGTCTCTGGGTGAAAAGTATATGGGTGAAAAGTATGTGCAAGAAGAGTTTCTGGGTGAAAAGTATGTGGGTGAAAAGTATGTGCAAGAAGAGTTTCTGGGTGAAGAGTCTCTGGGTGAACAGTATATGGGTGAAAAGTATGTGCAAGAAGAGTTTCTGGGTAGGTGGGTAAAAAAAAAGGTGGACCGAGGTAAACTTTTTTAGGGTTATGTACCAGGTGGCAATTGGGTGACGGTGGGGTATCGATTCCTCCCTGGTCCGCCCTCCGAGCTGGACTTGGGGAGATTGCAATGGAGGGGAAAATGATGAGAAAAACAATGGAAAAAATGAGGGAATATGACATAAAACAATGGGAAAAGAATGGAAAATTTGAGTAGAACGCTTGGAAAATGATGCCAAGTATAAAATAAAAGCAAAAGGATGGAAATTGATGGGGTGGAAAAACAATGGAAAAATTGAGGCTCCGATGTGGGACCATTATCGCGTAAAGCACGCGTGAAACAATGAAAAAGCAATGGAAAAATTGCGGTTTCGATGTGTGACCACTATGGAGTAGAAACACGGAAATAAAACCATGGAAGAAACGAGCAAAACCGTTTATACGGTGCAACGGTAGGGATTGTGGGAGGTGCATTTGGGTAAGCGTTAGACACACTGAGATAATATAAGGGTAATGATGGAGAAATCGAGTAACACCATGGCAAAACACTGGACTTCGATGTGAGACCATTAGCGATGGAAAAGCCATGGAAAAATCGAGGGACTATGACATAGAAGTGGAGTAAAACAATGGAAAAAACAATGGAAAAATTGCGGCTCTGATGTGGGACCAAAATGATGCCAAGTAAAATAAGAGTAAAATGACCGAAATTGATGGGATGGAAGCACAATGGAAAAATTAAGGCTCCGATGTGGGACCATTATATGTGCAAGAAGAGTTTCTGGGTGAAGAGTCTCTGGGTGAAAAGTATATGGGTGAAAAGTATGTGCAAGAAGAGTTTCTGGGTGAAGAGTCTCTGGGTGAAAAGTATATGGGTGAAAAGTATGTGCAAGAAGAGTTTCTGGGTGAAGAGTTCTGGGTAAAAAGTATATGGGCGAAAAGTATGTGCAAGAAGTCTCTGGGTGAAAAGTCTGTGCAAGGAGAGTTTCTGGGTGAAGAATCTCTGGGTGAAAAGTATATGGGTGAAAAGTATGTGCAAGAAGAGTTTCTGGGTGAAGAGTCTCTGGGTGAAAAGTATATGGGTGAAAAGTATGTGCAAGAAGAGTTTCTGGGTGAAGGGTGAAAAGTGTATGGGTGAACTGATGTGCCAGAAGAGTTTCTGGGTGAAGAGTCTCTGGGTGAAAAGTATATGGGTGAAAAGTATGTGCAAGAAGAGTTTCTGGGTGAAGAGTCTCTGGTGAAAAGTTTCTGGGTGAAAGTATGTGCAAGAAGAGTTTCTGGGTGAAGAGTATATGGGTGAAAAGTATGTGCAAGAAGAGTTTCTGGGTGAAGAGTCTCTGGGTGAAAAGTATATGGGTGAAAAGTATGTGCAAGAAGAGTTTCTGGGTGAAGAGTCTCTAGGTGAAAAGTATATGGGTGAAAAGTATGTGCAAGAAGAGTTTCTGGGTGAAAAGTCTCTGGGTGAAAAGTCTGTGCAAGAAGAGTTTCTGGGTGAAGAATCTCTGGGTGAAAATTATATGGGTGAAATGTATGTGCAAGCAAAAATTCTGGGTGAAGAGTCTCTTCGTGAAAAGTATTTGGGTGAAAAGTATGTGCAAGAAGAGTTTCTGGGTGAAGAATCTCTGGGTGAAAAGTATATGGGTGAAATGTATTGAAGAGTCTCTGGGTGAAAAGTATGGTGGAAAATAGGGGTAGATGGGATGCTGGCTTTCGTTCCCCCCTTCTCAGGTTCTTCACAATGACCTTTTTTTTTTTTTCCAGCTATATTGTATGGCAGAGGCCTTCAACCCGGAACTTCATGAAGCAATCTCCTTGCGAGAAGATGACGAGGCGGTCTTTGATGTCTCAACCCTTTGCACCGTGCCTTGCACCTTTCGAATCCTTTCTGCATATCCCACATGTTTTGCAATGTTTTGCATCTTGTTGCTCTTGTTGTTCCTGTATTTGGTGATGGAGAGCATTTACAAGAATCTTTGCTATTGGATATAGCTTTGGATTCGGACTCCCTTGTCCGGAATATAGGTTCATCCATAGTGTTCCACCAGTCCAAGCGTTGCCAAGACTTCTGTCAAACCTTCAATGGCCAGAGTCGAGCTGGCTAGGTTGATTCCGACGTCGTCGTTGAGCAGCTTGAGGAGGGCTTTCTCTATGGAGATTCCGGTGAAGTTCTGCGACCGGCGAAGGCCGGAACACATTTCGTGCTGATTCTTCGCTCGGCGCATCACATAGATTTTCATGGCTGTTTGGTGACTTGTACGTTTATATTTTAATATATTTTATATAGCTGTCTTTGTTGATGAGAATCTTGTAGCGCTGACTGTTCAACTTCATTGAAGGTCATCGTGTCATCCTGAGAGCCTCAACTTTGAGGGCGTGTACAGCGGCGGATAGTGTTCAGAAAAGTTCAGAATGCAGAAGTCTGCTAGATGTATAGAACGTGCATGTTATGAGATGCAACTTGAACGAATGAACCTTGAATATGTTTGATCCATGACTTCTACTAGCATGCTCCGTGCTTGCAAAGTCAACCAGATTCAAATGGAGCAAATCATTTGACTATTGTGCTCCCCTGTACAGCGAGCCTCATCTTTTAGCACAAGGTACAGATGGTCGTCATGGACGGGTGCACGGACAAAGCAAGGGTTTCACTGGGTTCCATTGTTCCATTGTGAGTCTTTCTCCCTCTGCAGAAGGGTCACATCACAGTCCGTTTTGATCACAGTCTCAAGATAATATCTCAAGTGTATTTCAGGGTTTCAAAATATTTCAAACAGGAAAAACATGGATGATACACCGAAGACCGGTGATTTGGTGGCCATTTTATACCATCTTTGGATGGTTTGGACCTTGGTTTTCGGGGTGCCAGGCTGCCATTGAGCAGTTCTGCAGTCAGCCAGCCTTCCATGTGGTGGTCCAATCCTGGCTGGAAGAGAAGAGGTGAAGCTTGCAAGTCAACGTGACTAGAAGCGGGTCATGCTACCATGAAGCCAGTTGCAATCATCTCATGCACAGTACAGAACAGAGAGCACGTCTTGAATACAGCAGGTGCAAAGACTGCTGGTAGGACGACACGACAGGGTGACTGGAGTGATATTCTCCATGGCACCATGGTAAGCTATATATGGGCATATGGGTCAGGAACTCGCCACCTACTAGCTGGAATGCACATCCCAAGAAACACCCGCAAGCCCTTTGGGCCCTGTTTCATCGGACCCTGGCCAGGCTGGAAAGTTGCCTTCCTCTCCTTTCCCATAGAGGAGTTCTGACTGCGATCGCAAAGGGCGAAGCTGTCAAGGTCACAAGCTGTTTCATTGGAAGCACACTATTTGATTTAAAGATGTACTGCATCCTATTTGAGATTGAATTTTAACATGATAAACACATATATCATATCCATACAAACATATAATTATATATATAATACTCGGTAGATATATGTATATATCTATATATAAAAATAACATGTGCATATAGAATATGTGGAATGATCATTTCAAATTTTCTAAATGGGAACTCACTCTGCAACCAGGCCGATGCTGCACATGGCCTTCCCACGCACTTCTCTGAGACGCTTTCTGAGGTGTCACAGCTGTGGCAGCAATGGTGCAACAACATGGGCAGTGGGTGGCCTTTAAAGTCCAGGTTTTGGTTATTTTGGTTTTGATTGATTTTGGTTTTGATCATTCCATTCTTTTGCGGACGGGATGGGTGCTCAGTTTGACGTATACCTGTGACGACATACTGCATGTTGTGTGGCTGCGATCAGTGGCGCTTTGGAAACTGCGAATGAAGACTGCAATAGGCATGGCATTCGGAGGGTGCATTGCGGCTTCTACGTCCAAGACGATCACCTCCAGATGATTGGGTGGGCTGCATGCCTTCAGAATCTCATGCATTTGAGCAGTTAGTGACTGAAGATTGCCAGGAATTGGTTTTCTCGCGCAGCGTCGGCACCCGACTTAAAGCTTAAAACTGTTAGACTGAAAGTGGCAACCGGCCTTTGCTTGGAATCGAATGTTTGAATGAACATCTGCTAACTTCGGGTTGGTTGGTCGTCAAGGCCTGTTCTACTATTGCCACAAAACCATCGACGGTCGAGCTCAATGGCCATACCCTGCTTTGGCTGAAAATGATGCTTGGACATCAAGGAGGATATGCGCTGATTCCTGTTGCTTGATTGTGACGAATGAAAATCACCACTCAGGAAACCAAGGGTAGTCTTGCAAAAGTGCCCAACATCCTTGACGAGTGGACCAGGCGGGACACAACATTTTGATGGTTTTAGTTTTAGCTGTATAGCCTCTATGGATCTCTATGGCTCATTTCAAATGATTTTCTTCATCCCTTCGGTCCCTTCCTCAATTTGACATCGTTTCGCCACTCGGCCAATTTCTTCCAGGGGGAAACCAGTGGCTGGCAATGCGCTCTATGCAGAGATCGCCTCTAAAGGCGGCCGCTTGCGGCCATGGGTTGCCTCGGAATCCCCCGCCCCTTGGGCCCCTGAATCCAGGTGAGCCGATCTGTTTGTTGTGCAAAGGTCAGGGCCAGCTGCTGAGAATGGGCCAGGATTCTGGCCACATGTTGAAACATGGTGAAACATGGTGAAACAGTAGACTCAGTAACTTGCAATGCCAACACCAAGGACTGGAACACTTTGCAAGTGCTGGCCACTCTGAAAACATTGCCATTTGGTCTTCGATTCAGAGTCGCCTCACACTCAAAGCAGACATGTGCTACCTTCTGGCAATGTCAAGAAACTTTTGAACACTTGTTTCTTGGAAGTTTGTCTTCCTGGCTAAGACAAGTTTGGACCGAGGCCTTTCAGAAGTTGAACACGGCCTGAACGTGCAGTTAACGCTTCTCGCCTACTTTGTGCTTTGCAGCCACAAAAGTGGCTTACACATGCCTTTCTGGCCTCACACAAATACTCACACCTGTCCAAGAGGCAACATCTTTCTGCCCTCATTTGCTTCATCTCCAAGGCTAGTCACTTCTGCAAGCTCTTTGACATCCTTTGAAATGGCAGCCTTGACAAAGGCCGTGGGAAGTTGATGGAAGTTATAACATGTTATAACATGTTGTACAATTACACCGAAATACACCGAGTGTATTGCTACCATTATTGCTTATTGGTTACTCTTTGGTTGCTGTTTGCCCGTTTTTAGGCATGGCTTCATGAGATTCAGCACACGACTTTAGCTGGTGCCCCAGTGACAGTCGCGACTGTCCCGGTAGAATTCCAGCTGTTTTTTTGAGGAACCTGCAGATTCCGATGATGCGAGGAAGCAGCAGGTGGCCGTACTGACACTGCTGTAGAATGCCAGATGGGTTTGTCTGAAACTGTTGGGAAACCCCATTCCACTAGTCACCAATCATCATTTTTCCATATTTTTTCCAAATTGATTCATTTGAGGATTTTGAATGATTTTGATGGGTTATACCATGGTATACCATGGTATATCATGGTATAAACCATTTCCAGATCCAGTTGCGGAGGTGAGCCGCGTCTTTTGGCATCTCCTTCTGGCTCCCTGGTCTCAAAAAGCCACGCAGCTAGTGCAAGTGCAACAGGCCCGATTTTGGCCCTGGCGATATATAATGATATATATATATAATGATATATATATATAATGATATATATATAATGATATATACATATATAATGATATATATATATATAATGATATATATATAATGATATATATATATACATATGATATATATATAATACATACACACATACATACGTACGTACGTACATACAGTGAATTATCTACCTAATCTACTTAACCTATATTGTAGTACCTAATCTATTCAATCTATACAATCTATCTATCTATACAATCTGTCTATCTATTAGTCTGTCTTTCCGTCCGTCCATCTATCCATCTTTCCATCGATCCACCTATTGATCGATCCACCTATTGATCGATCCATCCATCCATCCATCTATCCATCTAGCATCTAGCCATGTATGTATTCTATATGTTTCTATATACATATATACGTATGCATAGAACTATTTTTCTCCTCCATTGGGAGCACGATCCATCCCCAAGGATTGATACATCCCACATCTCAATGACTCGCCTTTTTGAAAAGACCATGGTGACCATGCACAACTCTAACCAGTTGCATTTGTAGACATGGACAGCCTGGACAGTCGGCAAGACTTTGTTTGGCCGATGCCATGTGATGCCATGTGATGCTGTGCAGGAACTCAACAGAGCTCTCACCATGGCGGGTTTACAGGAGCCAAAGCTGGCTCCTCAACGATCAACATTGGTCAGCTGTCATCAACATTGGCACCTGGTGCTAGGTGGTCTGAATTGGAGTGGCAAGCTCGCGTGCCTCCTCAACCGCATGTGGACTTTCCATGGTATTCAGCTAAGTTACAGAGGCTTCATAGGTCATTTTGGGTGCACATGTGCGCATCCCACCATTGAGGCCGAGAGTGTCGAAACTGAAGCTTCCCCAATCCACACCTTCGGAGGTTTGGTGAAGTTGCCACGGCAGCAATCCAACATGGAGTTTCCTAAAGCGGTCCCAAAGTCATCCAACGGATTGGTCACAATGGGGGAACCAATGGCTTTGGGCTTCCCCTAGGAAACGTGCTGTGATTGTAGGTCTATGATGCTCTTAGTGCTCAAGCTCTGAAGAGTGAAGGAATCACTGCCAAGGTTGGGTGGACAATCACACAGTGTTCAAAAGCCTTGTTGGTGGATGGTTTTTTCGGGGGGTATACAATGATACCACCAAAACATGTTGGGATTTGTTATACTCACATAATCCATGAGCGGGGAACCCCTGTGATCCAACGAGATGAAATGATGGAGGGTGTAGAACACTGCTCAAACAATGGAGTGATTCGCGGATTTGCAGCACAACACTGCTTTTTACCACCAAGTCACCGGGGTTCGTGTCAAAATTCCACCAATTAACCAATTCTGGGAGACAAAGGATGATGATTTTCTGACGTTGCCGGATCTTGCTGGCCAATGAGGCAGATGGTACACTGTGGTGTACTTATTGTGGGAACCTGAGAAGGCACAGTAATCTGCTACAGAAGTATCACGGCAACCGGCCTTCAGGCGACAAAGCTGTGCCCAGAACTTACACTATGCAGAGATGAAGTTTCAGTCATTATTCACATGACGCTTTGTCACTCCGTCACTCCCACCAGATATTGTGCTTTGCTACCAGGAAGCAACTCTCTGCTCATCTCAATCGCATTTTCCCAGAGGCTGGAGTGAGGAACTAGGGGGAAGCCAAAGGAAAGGGGCATAGCTGGCATGGCTGGCATAGCTGCACATTTCAGAACATTCGCTTTCGGAATACCTTAGGCCATGCAGCACATCGAGAATGGAATTGCCGTGAAGGCGGTGGTGGCCAAATTGAAATCTGAAGGCCAGGGTTGTGCTCTCAGTCAATCCCGACTGGGTCAATTCCTGTGCTGTTTGGATTCCGTTGAAAAGCTACCCCATTCTGCAGGCCATCAAATGCGCTGTGAAGGCTTGGTCCTCTCCAAGCGACGTTTGCCTGGCCTGTTTGAAGGCGTACCTTGTTGGAGGTGCAGCAAGCATTTTCCAAGATGGAAACACGATACAAAAAGATGACAAGATGGAAACACGATACAAAAAGATGACAAAAGCTGTTTCTCATTTTGGCACAATTGTTATGTTTGCCGTTTCAAATGATGTGAGAGTGCCTAACTTTCCAGAGTCGAAGACTTCGGTTTGAAGTTCAGTGGTGTCAGCCCATGTCAGCCCAGGTTTTCATTGCAGTTTGTGCAACACCTCTGGCAATTGGAAGTGGATTTGTGATCACAGATCCGCTCCATCTCACAGAGATGCGTGACCACCAGCAGCATCGCCAGATATCAGCAGCATATCACATGCACCACGAGTATTCACCCCGCTTCGCGTGGGGTGGCCGCCCACACCGCAGGTTTATTTCGGTCCGTGAGAGGGGCTAACGGTGGTTTTTCCCCGTGGGGGCTCCCCAAGCTAAGAATTTTCACTTTTCCCCCCCGTGGGGGCTCCCCAAGCTACTTTTCCCCCCCGTGGGGGCTCCCCAAGCTAGGGAATTTTCACTTTTCCCCCCCGTGGGGGCTCCCCAAGCTAGGGAATTTTCACTTTTCCCCCCCGTGGGGGCTAGGGAATTTTCACTTTTCCCCCCCGCTCCCCAAGCTAGGGAATTTTCACTTTTCCCCCCCGTGGGGGCTCCCCAAGCTAGGGAATTTTCACTTTTCCCCCCCGTGGGGGCTTCCCAAGCTAGGGAATTTTCACTTTTCCCCGCCGTGACAGCTTCCCAAGCTATGGAATTTTCACTTTTCCCTCCCTTGGAGGCTCTCCAAGCTGCGGAATTTCAAATAGCTAGACAACGACGCCTAGATAGTCCCCCAAATCCCGTGTTCTTTGAATGTGTTTCCATGTTTTTGCAATGGTTTCCTTCAAAGCACGGTACTTTACACTTTTGTCGCCATAAAACCGGTCGAAAACATCATGTTCGACAATGCTTCCAATTCCCTTATCTCCCCAACCGTTGAAAATACCGCTATTTACAGTGTTTTCTTCAATTTTTCCATGTTCCAATGCCGGTAGCCAACTCCAACATATATAAAAGAAATCCTTCCAAAACATTGTTTTTGACAGTGTTTTTCCAATGTTTCCAGTCAAACAGACGGTAATTTACACGTTTTTTGCCATAAAGGCAGTAAATCCTTCCAAAACATTGCTTTTGACAGTGTTTTTGTAATGTTTCCAGTCAAGCATACGGTAATTTACACGTTTTTTGCTATAACGTCAGTCCAAAACACTTGTTTTTGCAGTGTTTTCAATGCTCTGGCATCCAAAAACCCTGCAAAATCTTGCTATGTACAATGTTTTTTTCATTTTTGGCCGTTTTTCCATTGCCGGAAAGCTACCAAAATGACCCAAAATTCCATTTCAATACCCTCTTGCGCTCAGACACCCAAAAATCCTCGAAAAATGTCGAAAACACCACCGTATTCTGGTCTCGGTGCGAAACCGTCGTTTTTGGCCCCCCCCCCCAGCTAAAGCTGATATAGCGACTGCTATATTAACAAATGTCATTGAGCATTTAGTGTTGCTGTTTTGCCCCCCAATAAGCACGCCTTCACCGCCAAAGCGGTGTGGGCGGATTTATCAGGTGGTGACAGACATCCGACAGACATTGCGACTCCCAGGTACAATGTTTTCCTGCAAAGCTCCTCTCCAGCAGCTGCTCAAGTTCAGATCAACAACAAGAAGTTCAAAGAGGAACGGCTTTTGTTCCAAGAGGAACCAGGTAGCATTTGTATAGCATTTGTATGGATCATTTGTAATTTCTATGGACCAAGTTTTGTAGCATTTTTCGTGGCGACAAAACTTGGGTCATTTCCCATGTTTCAGGCCGAGCTGGTGGCCTGGAAAAAAGCCATGGCCATGGACCAAGCGATGGACAAAGACTGAAGCTCCGACACCAGCATCCAATGGCCACAGGATGGCGGGTGAAGAACTGCCAATTTCTATTGAGGTAAAACATAGGTAAAACCATGGTGAAATCTGGTGAAACTTTTGTGAAGATCTTGTTAAGTCTGATGGTGCATCCCCCACCTTCCTGTGATTTGTGCATATGCCCAACAGTTATACCAGGGAGCGCTCCCTCTTTGTAAAAGCGGCTGAACCGTGCGAAAGACGCTGTCCTATTGCTACCAGAAGGTATCATATCGTTTGCAATCTTTTGAGAGCAATCTGTTGAGAAGGACTGCTGAACCTGCTTTGTCCCTTGCAGCAGCACAGATTTAGGGTTCAGGGAAAGCCCACGCCCTCTGATGTAGACTCTTAATCGAACATCCCGTCAAGCCTCAGGATCATCACAATGGTATTTCTTTCTGGCCCTTGGGTCTTGAAATCCTGAAATGACAAGTCGTTGGCCCAACATTGTCTCAGCAACCAAGAATATTCAGAGACTCTCCCAGCAGAGTTTGTGGAAGGAAGCTATCGGGGCTTTGCAAAGCCAAATGCTGGACGTAGCTTTGCAGCCAGATCCAGTTGCCTTTACAGTGACCTTAGCAAGCTTCAGAGAGACTGGACAGTGGCTGCCTGCAATGCAGCTCTATGATCAAATCCTGAATTGCTGTGTCCAGAGCAACGTCATCACCTTCAACACCATCATCAGCAGCTGTTGGGGTCACTGGGAACTCGCCCTCGCAATGTTGAGGGGAATGCCGGACATCTTGGTAAACCCGGATGATGTGAGCTGCAATACGGCGACTTGGCAGTCAATTCAGAACTTGGCTTTCTTCGATGCAGGTCAGATTTGGCAATTTTTCTCCAACAGCGTGAGCTTGGGGGGGGTCTCACCCCGAAGATAAAGGATGATAAAGGTTCGTTTCAACTTCCGGTGCAGGTCCGGTCTGGTTTTGGGAGGTTCCAGTCAGGTTGCAGTCGAGGTTCTGGTGTGGGTTCTGGGAGAGGTTCCGGTGTGAGTTCCTCCGGTGTGCGTTCTGGGATCGTTTTGGAGGTTCCAGATGGTTCCAGTGTTGTGGTTCCGGGGGGTCCGATGTGTTGGTTCTTGTATGGATTCGAGCATGGGTTCCGGAATTAGTTCCTGACAGATTTTGGTGCCGGGTCCGAGTCGGTTCCAGTGCAGTGGTTCCGGAGGTTGCGGTGTGGGTTCCAGATGGGTTTCTAGAGGCTAGGGCTAGGGTTGAAACTTCATAGGTTCCCTGGCTGCCTGGCTGGTGTCACTCTTTCCTACCACCTTTTCTGTTGGGGATACAGCCTGGGCTTTTTTACCTAACAGTGTTGTAGGTTGGTTGGGAAGGGTCTCACTGTGGTTTGGAACATGTCAGTGTTTCCAAATGAATAATCTTGTGGCCAATTTTGGCTCAAGATTCTTCATCTTGGTTTTTTCCTTTCCCCATGCCCTGCCTTACCCCCACTCCGGAGCCGTGCTGGAGGGTACAGGCTAAGCGCTGGAGGAAAGCGAACCCAGGCCGTGACGCGGCAGGCCTGGCTTGGGAGGAGCGCAAGGGCAGTGATCGCGCTCGTGCTGCCTTCTGGGTAGCGACAGCCCTTCCCAGGGGTAGCGGGCCCCAACCGGAAGGTTGCCAGCTGTGTGGTGTGGCTACCCACAGCTGGTGTGAGGGGTGCTACCAGAGGGCTGGGGGAGGCGAGAGCTACTCCGCTGTCTGTCAGCGTTGCGACGGTGACCACCTGGTTTGCCCTGTGTGCACCCAGGCGGGGATCACTTGGCAGACTGGGCACGAAGCGTACGTCCAGACCCACGGGGACGACGATGAAGAGACGATCGAGGTCTCAGTCGATCCAGCGGCGCCGCCCTCCAGGATCAAGATCTCAACCCTTGCGTCCTCCCTCGGCATCCCAGTCGAGCAGCTCAAAGCAGACCTCGTCCGCTCGTTGGGAGGAGGTGGCTCCGCGGGGCGCTGAGGCAGGCATGGATGGCCAACTTTTGGCCATCGTCGCCAGCCGAAGGCCGGAGTTCAAGGCCTTCTTCGATGAGAGGGAAATCCAGACCTGCAGTGACGTGCGCTTCAGCTGGCCCTCAGGTCATGGGTTGTTGGATGCGTTTGAGGAGGCGAAAGGAAAGCTGTCCGCCGAGGATTCTTTCCAACTGCTGCTGATCTACACCTTGGCATCATCTCAATCCCACTTAGCGGTGGGTCAACAAACACGCCTCTTGGTGGACGAACGTGAATCTGTGATTCCGGGTCGGCCCATCATGAGGCTTGAAGAGGCGCCGCAACCGGCAGCCCCGCCTAAGGCCCGGGCAGTTATCACCACAGGCCTCACTGAACGCATGCCGAACTTGATGACGGCGGCCACGGGGGACGCCCATGCAGGTGAACAGGCCAAGCGTGAGATGAAGACGCAAGCCCTCTTCCAATTCTCCGTCGAACACCTAGTGGACCTGGAGGAGCTGGGCCTTAGCTGGAAAGTGCTCAATGATCCAGCCCGTATGCAAGCTTTGCGGGAATCCCTGATGGCATGCGCCGCGCGCCTGAGTGTGGAGAGACTGGGTTCTCTCACCGCTGCAATCCGGCGTTGGGTGCGATTTGCCACTGAACAGGATTACCCTGTGAAGAAGCCAACACCTCTCCAGATTGCGGACTTCCTGAAGAAAGTTGGCGGAGGGGGACCCACTGCGGCTGCCAGTATGTTCCAAGCCCTCAAATGGTTTGAACAAAATATGGGGACCCACTTCCACACGGAGCACTTCCTCGTCAAGCCGCATCGGTACCATCATCCTCTTCATACAGGCGTGCAGAAGGATGAGCTCGAGCCCTGGGAGTTTGTCAACTTGGTGCTTACGGCGGCACAGGCTCGTGGTACCAAGCAGATCTTGGCAGCCTTCATGCTTCAAGCAGCCGTGTCATGTGTGAGATTCGAACACTTCCAACGATCCACCATGACAGGCGGGAATGACAAGTGGTTGCAATTCCACTGCTCCCAAGGGAAAAGCCGACGCAACGGGGCCCGCCCGAGCTACGACTGGGCCATGCCGGAGGTCCAATACCAGGGCTTTTCTCTGCTGGCGGCCATCCGTGACTTTGCCAAACACGAGGCTCTGCCTGATGCCACATACATGTGGCCGGCCCTGGCGCTGTGCCCAGAAGACCTTTGGCAGGTCCATGATACTACGCCCTTCGACCTGTCCAGGAAGATGAGCAGGGCCCGATACCTCGAACTTCTACGAGGACTTCTTCTCGAGGTCGGGGTCCCTCGAGACAGCGCTCTTGTGGCAGGCTACAATCGCCTCAGGCGATTCCTTCCCACTTTGGGAAACTGCTTGCAGTTCGACCCCATTGACCTGCAAGCCATAGGCAACTGGACTGATATACCAGATGCAGGGGGGCCGACACCGACCTACAAGCCCAAGCGCGCCTCCATGCCTATGGGCCTGCATTACGCAGGGCAAAAAGTGGCTCGCTCAGCTCAGATCAAACAGCATGCTCTGACATGCTTTTTCAAGCTATGGAAGCGCAAGCAGCCGGAACTGGCGCTAAACCACGATGGCTTGGTCACGCCTGACAGTTGGTCGTGGCAGGAGGTCTGTGCTACCTCTGCCGCCCTCCAACTCCCAGCAGTGGCGGACCTCCCCCCGAACCCGGACCAAGAGGAGGGAGCCATCGAAGTGGCACCGGGAGCCCTTGCAGACATTGAGGGCAAACAGGACCAGGCCGAGGCGGAAGAGAGCGACATCAGCGACTATGATGGGATCTCCAGCTCCACATCGCCTTCCGCGTCAGATGAGTCAGCTGTAGGAGAGGAGTTGGTGGGCATCATCCCACCGGATGACATTGCCACATCCCTCCCATGGTTCCAGCAAGGAGCCAAGGTCCATGTGCTGCGCACGGACAACTTGCAGGGCCGCCGCCTCCCGTGGTGCAGGGAAACACCCTTCCACCAGGACCCTCAGCGGGTGGGAGAGGGTGTGGCCACGCTGGAGAAGGCGAAAATTTGCCAGAGGTGTCTCAGCCGCATGCCGAGACATCCCTCTACGCGGCCCTGGCAGAAGAATGTGGCTGGCTTCACTGACTGAGAGCCGGGCTGTGTTAGGACACTGTAGCTGTGCCGCTACGTGTACTCGTCCGTTTTTGGTATGAAAGGTTTTGCACGGGGTACCGGAGTTTTCCCTTCGTACCTGTGGTGCCTCCCTCTACCTTGTATTTCTAGGCCATTGGACCGCATAATTTGGGACCCCATAAGTAGTTGCCCCTAATAATCAACCATACATAGCAGAATCATATCCTTGGGTTTAGGCGGGGCCGCCCCTTTTTGTCCCATATTTCAGGGGTTAAGGTGCTTTCCCCCTAACCAGGCCCCTGCCGTACGTCTTGTTGACCATGTTTAGAGCTCTGCAGGGGGTGTGACATCCGCTCCACCACTTCGCAGTCTGGGCCCAAACTGGCGGTTTTGCAGACCTGCAGCGCCCGGACATGGCGTCGGCATCTCGCATCGACGTGTTGCAAGAGGACAGGGGCTTAGCCACCTGTTTCTCCGCGGCGAACTTGCGACCGGAGTGGACGGAGCCCTTTGCGAAACACCATGGTATCGAAACTCTGGAGGATTTCATCTTTTTGGTCCCAAAGGAAGACACCGACAAAGGAGTGCAATCCTTGGTAGATGCTGTTGCTGCCCTGAAGGGCAAACCCATCGTCCTTGCCCGCTTCAAGGCTGCCTATGAGTCGGGTACCCAGGCGGTTAAGCAGGCCAATCAACTGCCTGCCAAAGGATCATCGGACTTGGACGAGCTGCTGCCTGAATCCACCCTTGCGACTGTGTCCAAGGACTTCAGGGCTCGCTACAACATTGAAATCGATGCAGCGCTGGAGCCAAGTGACACCCTGAGATCCAGAGTTTACAGAGAGTTTAAGAAACAGACCATGACTGTGATTGAAGCTCGCCGGATCAAGTCCGTCCTGGAACAATCAGGGCCCAGGCTCCAGGAGAGTGTGTCACTCCCTGGAGGTCTGAAGCTGGAGTTTGACAAGGACTCACCGGTGGACATCACGTCGGCGGTTCAGTACCACTGGTCCTTGCGCACCTTAGGCTACGCGTGGGCCTGGGCAGGGAACTACCGCGTCAAAGATCCAGATGGCAAGGAGCGCATCTTCATATCAATGTCCGAAGCTACCACATACGCTGACGACGCGCTGAGATCCACCATGGAATTCGGCAGTGGATCCTTGCTTTGGATGAACCGCAACGACCTACTTACTCGGGGCAAAATGGCCAGTGCAATTCGGCGAGGATGGTCGGCAGGCAAAGCCTTGCGAGATGCCCTCCAACAATGCCATTTGGAGTGGCGCTCACCAGCGATGCACCTCACCCCGGACTCGAACAAGTTGAAGCGGCCAGCAGAACCGATGGCCCCGCCGCCAGCGGACAAAAAGCCGCGGCTCTTGAAGACGGACAAGTTCCCCACTGTGAGCATGGTCAAAGGCGGTAAGCGCCTGTGCAAGAAGTACAATGACGGCAGGGGATGCTCTGGCTGCGACGACATCCATGGATGCGACGTGAAGTTGCCCTCGGGCAAGCCATGCCTGAGTACGAAGCATAACAGATTGTCGCACCAGGAGTGACGGTGTGGCCCCCAACATATGGGGGCCGACGTCGCAACTGCACCACCACACCCGGGTCAGCCCCTCTCTGTGCAGGGGGCCCCTGGGAGTGTGGCTAGCCCAGTTTCTGACTGGAGTGCAGAAGCGTCGCGGCCGACCACGAGGGAAGTGAGGCTGCACCCGGACCCAGACTCCAAGCTTGGACAGCTCATTTATGCGGCCAAGCCGGTCACCTGGAGAGGCCAAGGAGATCTCCTTCAATGCTCGTGGGCGGTCGTCCCCAAGGGCACCATCCTTCTCATTGACCTGTGGAGTGGCATGGGCGGTCTACCGCTAGCCCTGCTGTGTATGGGGGCCACCTTCTACGCTGTGTCAGCGGAGAGTGACCCTCAGGCTCGGGCAGCTTGTGCGGCGTCGATGCCCCACATCATCCATGTGAACGATGTGGCCAAGGTTCATGCCAGAGACTTCGAGGCGCTGTTGGCTCGTCGCCAGCCTCGGCTTATCCTGATTGGGGGGGTTCGCCGTGCCAAGGAAACTCTAGCCTCAACCTGGGGCGCCGTGGACTAGGTGATGCCCGTTCTCACCAGCCAACTGAGCTTTGCCGTATCCGCGACGAGTTCCAAGCTCTTGTTCAGGGTCGGGGCATCCCAGTCCTTACGTTCCTGGAAAATGTGGCCAGCATGCCCACGGAAGTACGAGACCAGTACTCCTCCTGGCTGGGTCATCCACCGGTCTACCTGGAGGCCATTCGATGTGGATGGGTCCACAGGAATCGCCTATTTTGGTTAGGGGTCGGAAACAGTGGTGTGTCACCAGCCCTTACACCTCCCCAAGAGTGGCAGTGGGCAGCCTCCGACAAGAACCACACCCCTTGCCTTCAATACGCAGGGAAGAAGCCGGTGCCGGCACGCATCAGCTGGGAGGACGGCTTTGCACCGTTGTTCAACCCTGCCGAAATATTGGCCGGTGCCACACATCTGGGATTCCACCCTTTCACCAGGGAGTTTTACCATCCGGCTGACCGGGTTGGTCAATCTTCTGCTGAGGCGGTATCCAGATTCTTTGAGGACCAATGTCGCTTCCCACCAAGCGCATATGAGGAACAGTCACTTGTTTGGCGGCAACACAACTGGAGGACTCCCTCCCCGGCAGAGAGATGCCAGGCGATGGGCATCCCACCCTCAGCTGTGTCAGCTGTAGGGGGGTTCAACCCAGGAAGCGGCAAACTCAGAACTCCCTCATCGGCAACGGCTTCCATATCCCCTCGGTGTTAGCAATTCTGTGCTTCATTCCACAACTGCTGGCCACAAAGATCCCGTTGCCCATGCTTGACTACGAAGAGGTCGGCCTCAAGGGCCGCCTGGTGGGCACCATTTGGCAGCCTGGGCGCATTGAGACGTTCCCGGGCTTACTTAATAGTACGACAGTTGTGAATGAGGTACAAAGCAGCTTGGTCGGCTTAGACATCGCCCCTCAGGTTTGGTCGGAGACCGACCGGCGCTTGTCATTTTGCCGTTTGGAACGCCTCCAATACTTTGCGGCGTGGTGTCGTATGCGGGGGATGGAGTGGACATCCCTTGGGCCTCGCCCCATCACTAGCCGTGATCGCACGGCCATCTTTGCTGGGCTGTCGGGACAGAGATACCCTGCCTCTTCGACCCGTGGACTTGATCATCTGCTTCCTCCAGGTCTGGGCCCTGAGGAGCTAGTGCTGGGCTACCGTCCCCCTTTATCCCAAGATCCTGGCCTGAGCCAGACGTTACTTTCCTGGTTCAAGCCCTTGTGACCTGGCGCCAGTTCATGATCCCTTTTGCAGCGGAGCTCAGGAAGACTCTTCGAACCCTTGTGCGGGCCGTGGCCCCCTTGGAAGCAGCTCTGGATCGGCACCGCTGCCCTGCATCGCAAAGAGTGGCCGCGGCAAAACGACCAGGCTTCATTGCAGTCGTCGGTGCGTTGCTGCGGTGGCCAGACCGTACTCAACCACGTGACCTCATTTCGGGGTACAACATTGTCGGGGACTTCGCAGCCACGGGCCTTTTTCGCCCAGTTCAACCAGAACAGGCTACTCCTCTTGATGACTGGCTCGGAGAACCAGCCGCTGCCACCATTGATAGAATCATTAGAAGCCCTCCGCCCAGGTATGCTGACGAGATTTTTCGCATCACCAAAGAGGAGCAGCACAAAGGATTCTGCGGAGACTTCATGACTAAGGCCGCAGTCGATGCTGCCCACGGAACACAAGGCTGGAGACCCATGGAGAGGTTCCTCATCCAACAGCCCGATGGAAAAACAAGGGCCATAGATAACTGTCGGCGCACAGGGCACAATGCTGCCACAACCCTCCATGAAACAATCACCACGGTCAATGTGGACGCTATAGCCTCTTTCGGGCGCATGGTGTGTGACATTCTGGGTCTCAATGCACCACCGGCGGACACCCACCAGTGGCTCGACCTCCGGATTGGCACGGACGACCTTCCGGACGCCTACAGAGGGCTCCCCGTGGCGCCTGATCAGATGCGTTTCAGCTATGTGGCGATTTTTGTTCCAGACCTTGGCTGGCGTTTTATGCCTATGTATGGGCTGGCCTACGGCTTGGAAAGTGCAGTTATCAGTTTTAACAGGTTCCCCCAATTAGGGGTCGCCATTGCCAGGCGCTGCTGCCTGTCATTTTGTGCAGCGTACTTCGACGACGAGCTCTCAGTGGAATTTGTTCAAACGGCTGACATTTCCCAACGAGGGCTTCAGCTTGCTTTCGAAGCTATGGGCGCCCCTCCTCAGCCGAGCAAAGCATTTCGACCTGCCGCCAATCGGCACTATTTGGGCACCTCCATCCATGTAGGCGATTTCTGCACCGGTGGTTTCATCAGATTCCAGCCCAAGTCCTCTACTCGAGCCAAGGTCATCCACCATATTAGCCAGGCATTAGCCCATGGTCAGATGGATCGCGATACGGCTGGTAAGCTACGAGGCGACCTCAACTGGATGTTCAGCAATTGTGCAGGCAACATTGGCCGCTTTGCTGGACCCGTGCTCACCAGCCTGCAATCAGCTGATGAACCAACATTGACGGCCGCTATGGAGCAGTCGCTGCATATCCTTCTGGCCATTGTGAAACAAGCGCATCCAAGGGATGTGTGTGTCTGTGGACCACCCAAACCCCTGTTGCGCGTGTATTCGGATGCCTCCTTCGAAGATGGTGAGCTTCGTGTTGGTTGGATCTGCATGCCTCCGTCGCAGCAACCCATCGGAGGCACATGCCTTATTCCTGAGGCAGTCATCGCTGCTTGGAACCCGCGCCGCCAACAAATCTGCCCAGGGGAAGCTCTAGCAGGCCTTTTAGTGCCCTGGTTCCATCCTGGCCTTTTTGAGGACACCGATGCCTTGTGGTTCATCGACAACGAGTCTGCCGCTAGCTGCCTCATTCGTGGAAGCAGCCGCGAACCTGATCTCCACGCGATTGCCCAATTCTCGCACCTACTCTGCCACACTCTGCGAAGTCGAGTATGGTTTGAGTGGATCGATTCAAAATCGAATCCTAGTGATGGCTTGTCACGCCTGGGCTTAGACGATCTTTGGACCCTCGCCCAAGGCTGGGACATAGCCGAATACTCTTTTCCCATAGAACTTCAACCTGCTACGTTTTTAGGCGTATTTCTTGATCATTTGAATTTTCCTGACAGTGGGTGAATATTATTTTTATTAATACAGTGGGTATAGATGGTAAGAGTCATTCTGACCTTAACCAACTGTTCTTGTGAGATATATCTGTGATATACTCCAAGCACGTTTACCCATTGTTACTTTGTAACAATGCACTGTCATGTGTAAATTCTATGATCTGCGTATTACGCAACGTAAGACAGGATTTGAGCAGCGCTACCTGTGAAAAGAGTTCGTTTTGGTGCCTGCATGTTTCTTACCTAACAGTGTTGTAGGTTGGTTGGGAAGGGTCTCACTGTGGTTTGAAACATGTCAGTGTTTCCAAATGAATAATCTTGTGGCCAATTTTGGCTCAAGATTCTTCATCTTGGTTTTTTCCTTTCCCCACCCTCTTCCACCCTGATCCCCTCTGCGGGGTGATGGGCAGAGGGTCTTTGTGAGGTTTGTCATCTACTACCCCGTTGCTCTCCCCTTTCCTAAGATCTAATCTACTGAAATGGGGCCGGGTATAGATGGTAAGAGTCATTCTGACCTTAACCAACTGTTCTTGTGAGATATATCTGTGATATACTCCAAGCACGTTTACCCATTGTTACTTTGTAACAATGCACTGTCATGTGTAAATTCTATGATCTGCGTATTACGCAACGTAAGACAGGATTTGAGCAGCGCTACCTGTGAAAAGAGTTCGTTTTGGTGCCTGCATGTTTCTAATATTAGCCAATATTAGCCATTCACTTTAAGGGCTACCGTTTCGCAAGACAGACCTTGTCCTGGTAGATGTCTGGCCTGCAGGTCTTGAGCACCTGCGAAAAGTCGAAGATTTGGCTAAGGGCCTCCAACTTGTTGTCGGCGATGAGCACTTCTGGGCGGCCTGATGTCATTAGTGCGGAGCCTATGCCTATGATCCACAAATGCTCCACACACTTCTGCAGCTTTGGCCTTTTTATAGATGTCTATGTTTTCTTAGTGTGAGTGACAAAGAATGAGGTCAAAGTGCGACAATCAGTGCATGTGGAGGTTTGTGGCCAGTGGCACTAGCTCTTCGACTTGAGCTGTCCAACATGGGCATTGAAACCAATGAGATAGCAGAGAATTCGTGCCTGTCCTCTGAGAAGGTTGCGGAATGGGAGTTGACGTTGCAAGGCCTTCGCAGGTTTCAGACCTTGAGCATGCAGCCAAGCCCAAATGCCATCAGTGCAGTGGTCTCATCAACCAATCGATGGGAAGATGTCCTTGCCATCGTTGCAATGGCCGCAGAGCTCAATGTCTTGGATCCCATCTTGCTGAATGTTGCCATGGATTCATGTGGCACCACATGGGAACTGGCGGGCCTCTACCTTGGATCCACAGCATCTTCGTTGGGATCCATGCTCTCCAAGCGGCTTGCTGCTGACAAGGCAAGTTTTGGTGCAGCGATGACAGCATGTTCAGGAGCTCGGCAATGGCGATCCACCTTGGCACTTCAGATGCAGATCCGATTGTTGGGGCAGCCGGATTTCATCAGTTGCTGGTCCAAAAGCTGAGATCTTTCTTGTGCTGTTTCCACAATAGAAAACATCATGCCTTTCTTTATTCCTGATGGTGTCACTGGTCCCTTTAATTCACAAAAGCGAAAGTGAAGAATGTGTACTATAATGGCTATAGTGAAAGTTGGGGTTTGTATATGTACCCAAAGTCGGGCACATGGTCATACGGTATACCCTGAAATTAACACGGGCTTATATATTCTATACATATATATAATATAATTATATATATATATAATTATATATATATCTATATATTTTAATATTATATGTAATTTATATGGACTATATTGTAATGTACCTCCATAGGTGTTTTGACCACATCCCGATCCCAACAGGAATCCCCAGCAGTGGGATGATGTACTTCTCCCCCAAAATGAAGAAACATCGCCACAGGATGTGAGCTGCCAAACAACCATGGGATAACATGGTGCACCCTATTTTCAAAAAGCATCAAAGGATTCAGGACATATGTTTCGGATTGGAATCACTAGGTTTTCCAATGGTTTTCCATTAGCATCTGACTCATTTCATGTTCTGATTGCGCTGATTTGATTTGTCCAGTCGTTCATCCCAGCTTCCCAAGCCCCGTTTTTTGGCGCCCTGGCGCTAGGTTTCTCTGCAGCAATGAGTGCGTTTGAAAAGGCAAGCCGCTGGCAGCCTGCGATGGAGATCCTCAGCTGCTCAGCTCCATAGTATAGAATCTTAGAACCCCAGCATTTTTTGATGGTTGGACTAGGTCAAACCCCAATTTTTTGGTGGCAGAAAGAACTTTTTTTTTTTGAGACAGAGTAGTTTTTTGTTTTCTTGTTTTTGGGTAGTTGAAAATTGGAAGCAAGTAAAGTTCTTGCTTTTCGTTGACACCATGTTCCCACATTTGCACCTTTGTTTTGTCTGGAAAACCATGACAAGCATGGCAGAAAGGTGATGCTTTGCGTTGGGAGGTTGCTGATGAGATCCACTTTGGAGCATTGATTGGGGCCTGTCACAGAAGAACGGCGTCCATTGCTCGGTCTCACGCCTGGGGTACTCAACAGGCAGTAAAAGGATCCGCCGGGGAAGGAAGTTCAGTTGAAACTGGATTGATTCACAAGCGAAGCGAAACTCTCACACTCCAGGTGTCCATGGTGTACCAGTCAAACAGTTGAGTGTTTTTGACCCCTGGGATGAAGCACTTGTTGCCACCATACCACCGCGGCATGGTGGAGTTTGTTCTGCTGTCGAAGTTAGGCTCAAATCAATTCGAGAAACTGGATGAAACTGGTACATTTGAGATTCTTCACGAATGCTTCAATTCACTGTCGCTTTGCCAAGTGGGCAAAGTGAGACATTTTCGCTTCCACAGTCCTCCACAGTAGGGGACTTGAGGATTCTGGCGCAGAAATCGTATCAACGTGGCTTCTTGAGGCTTGTGGCTGCAGACCATAGCGTGGTGGATCCTACAAAGTCTCTGCAAGCTGCAGGACTTGAAGATGGAGACCACCTGACAGCTATTGCCATAGAGGCAAAGGTAGCCGCAACAGGAGCAGCTTTTGCGTTGTTTTGCTGTGGAGGTGACCGGGTTGTGACTTGGGGCAAATCAGATTATGGTGGTGACAGCTCTGAAGTCCAAGATCGGCTCAAAGGTGTCCAGCAGGTTCAATCAAATATACGCGCGTTTGCTGCAATCCTGGCAGATGGCTCGGTTGTGACTTGGGGCGATCCCGATTATGGAGGTGACAGCTCTGAAGTCCAGGATCAGCTCAAGGGTGTCAAGCAGGTTCAAGCAACTGGACGCGCATTTGCTGCAACCCTGGCGGATGGCTCGGTTGTGACTTGGGGCGTTTCACGGTCTGGTGGTGACAGCTCTGAAGTCCAAGATCGGCTCAAAGGTGTCAAGCAGGTTCAAGCAACTGAGAGCGCTTTTGCTGCAATCCTGGCAGATGGCTCGGTTGTGACTTGGGGCGGTCCACGGTCTGGTGGTGACAGCTCTGAAGTCCAGGATCAGCTCAAAGGTGTCCAACAGGTTCAAGCAACTGGATTCGCATTTGCTGCAATCCTGGCGGATGGCTCGGTTGTGACTTGGGGCGATCGAGATTCTGGCGGTGACAGCTCTGAAGTCCAAGATCGGCTCAAAGGTGTCCAGCAGGTTCAATCAAATCAAAGCGCGTTTGTTGCAATCCTGGAAGATACGGACGGAGGTGCAAGGTGCTGTCTTGGACGGCGGGCTGGGAGTGGCCATGGCTCGGTTGTGACTTGGGGCGATCCACGTTATGGCGGTGACAGCTCTGAAGTCCAAGTTCGGCTCAAAGGTGTCCAGCAAGTTCAAGCAACTGAGATCGCTTTTGCTGCAATCCTGGCAGATGGCTCGGTTGTGACCTGGGGCGATCCAGATTCTGGTGGTGACAGCTCCAAAGTCCAAGATCGGCTCAAAGGTGTCCAGCAGGTTCAAGCAACTTCACGCGCATTTGCTGCGATCCTGGCAGATGGATCGATTGTGACTTGGGGCCTACCAGGTTATGGTGGTGACAGCTCTGAAGTCCAAGATCGGCTCAAAGGTGTCCAGCAGGTTCAAGCAACCTACGGTGCATTTGCTGCGATCCTGGCAGATGGATCGGTTGTGACCTGGGGCGATGGTGACTGTGACAGCTCAGGAGTTGCAGGCCAGTTTGCCCATGTGTAGTCATGTTGTGGCCAAAGTGGCCCTTCAGCCCAGAATCCTGAAGTGTTTTGAGTTCTTCCCATTCGTCAGTCGATCCGTTTGGGATCCGGGTCAGATGTGCTCGTCACGGCATGGAAAAAAATGGCAACCCTTTCTCACCTTATTTTCTGAAGAATACTTGGCTTTCATTCCTTTTTCTACCCATTTGCCTCGGAATTTTGGGGAATTCTCTCGCTGTTTGCATACTCCAATGAACACCACATTCGAATTTTGCGGCTACTTTTCCGGCACCCGGACTTTCTGGTGCGATGTGTGAGAGCGTTCCTGCCAATTTGAACGCCATTGACACAATCATTGAGACTCGCACAAGAGGAGCTTTGAAAGAGAGCCTGCAACGTGATTATTTTGCAGCATGTCTCAGCCATTGGCCTCGAGTCAGCATTTTGCACATTTTCCTTGCGGGGTAGCTTGGGCCCATTGACCCAGCTGTCTGAGATGTTTCCGGTGTTTATTGTGAATTATGGACTTAATCCAGTTGCTGTTTTACTCAATGCCAACTGCATCTCAGGCCAGAGTCATGAAAGACTCAACTCCTAGCCATGAACATGCATTAAGCTCAGGCTTGCTTTTATGAATCCTACCGATTTAACGCTTGGTCTGACAACAAACCCTGAACAATAAGGGCGACGTAGCACAGAATGCAGCCAGCCAAGACCTCGATGTCAGGAGTACTGAGTCATCACTTGGTTGAAAAATCCCGAATTTGCGTGCATTTTCTTGCATGTGCTGGTGGTTTGCATGCGGCGGCTGCTTGCCATAAACTTCAGAAGAATTTGTTGCCACTTTGTCAATCTTTCTCATAATTTCTCTCGATTTTCATCTACTTTTTGTAAACTTCCTAGAGTCAGCATTGCAGAGATTGCAGAGAATGTAGAGGTTGATAGAGATTGCAGTTTCACAGATTCCGACACACTGTTTCCCGGAACTGGCCAAGGCGACCCTGAGGCGTTCACAGCAATCACTGCACCGGGAAAGACCCAGGGAACTGGTGCACATGGACATGGTGGCCACGGTGGACATGGTGCCCATGTTTCAGAGGTCAGAACCCCAGAAACTGATGAGCTTAGAAAAATGTGATGGAACCGATGGAACCGATGGAACCGTTGGGAAGGTGAGTGCAATGAGCGTTATCTCCGAGACAGTTGCGGAGATTCGTGAAGCAGCGACTTGTCTCAAGCTAGATGCAAAACGAAGACTTCCTGTGAATTGCTGTGGTCACTCCAAACACAAAGGCATTCATCAAAACCCAATTCTAGCCTTTTGCCCAGGGCGTTGTGCTGTTGAGCTCCCTTTGTCTAGTCAGCGTGCTGGAGGGAGCAGACATGGCACTTTTGCCCGTTGGGTCCTCAGAACGCTCAAATACACTCAATATACTGAACATGAGATTCGTGAGTGCGACTCACGATGGAATCCGATGGCACTCAGATTGTGTTTTCAAAAAGACCTGAGTTGCCAGGCCGTCTTCTATGCTCTGCAGACAGATCTGGGGCTTTCGCTGTCTGACCTCGCCACCATGACTCTCATTCAGGCGGAAAATCTTCCGTGCTGAACAACAAAAAGCCTGCCAGAACTTGGTGTATGGTCTGAAGATGTCTGAAGCCTATTGGACCCTTGGTGCAGGGTGTGACGACATCCGCCGTTGCCCCTTTTTGGGGGATCCTTGCCGACAGAGGCATTATGAAAAGGCTCGCTGTTCTGACCTGTGCTGAGCAGAGAGATGCATCTTCTCCAAGCTCTTGGGGCAGGAAGCGCATCATCGTCATGGGCTGTGTGCTGCAGGGCCTTGTCACAATGCTTTTGTCCGTCATCGACTCGAAGCTTGATGGCACTTCGGGACAGAACACTTTTCGAAACTACAGCGACCTTACATTGTCATACATGATGGCACCAAATCACCAAGACGTGACTTGACACCGTTATAGTCCGTTATACCTGCAAACGCAATGCAATTACATGGAAAAATGATGCAAAAAACGGCTGCAATGACATGGCAAAATTTTGCAAGATGGCGATATCTCTGGACGGAAGAATAGCTTAATTAGATATAATTAGAATATCCTGAGTATCCTGTGCACGATGAGAGGTTTGAGCAAAATCTTTGCAGCTGAGGATGGTGGGTATGACGATGCTTCGAGCCCTGAATGGTGATCCCTGCCGTGGTTTCTTGGTCTCCGGGAATGCTCCGTGCATCGACCGCCAGGTGCTCTGCTGGCATCATTGCGGCCAGTGGCCAGTGGCATCATCGCTGATGTGACTTCGGAGCAGCGCCGGGGCAAGGTCAAGGTCTTAGAACGTCTTAGAATCTGATTAATGTGGGTAAAACAATAAACCATCCTCCAAATCACCATAAATAGGTGGCATAAACCATTCCCAAATGGATGGTTTATGATTGTTTTACCCACATTGTGCACAATTTGTTTGAAACTGCCAAAACCCGGGACAGCTATGTGCAGCTGCAATTTGTTTGAGAAGATCAATGGAAAGAGACACGTTTAATAGGTTCCAGCTTCTCACATTTCTCGCTGAGTTCCTTTCTGCAAGGGGTCAACTGGCGTGTTCTATCCTGACACACTTGCATGTGGATTTCATCGAGTTCCTCCAACTGAGGTCTATGGCGTCGTTCAATTTTGCACCAATTGCGGACTGATGGCGGGGACCCCGGTGGTTCATCGAGCAAGGACGTATTAAGTGAGAGCTGGGGCCAACAAAAAATTGTGAGGCTGGAGGCCTCATTGGCACACCACTATCGACCAAAACAGTCCTCGGCTGGCAGGCGCTTTTTGAAGATCTGCAAAAACAGCACCTGCTTAGCATCTCACAATCCCCAAGTGTGAGTGATAAGTTGGTTGCAAAGACCTGTGTGTTGATGTGATTGTTGCCAGGGTTGGCGCGTTGCATTCATCGGAATTGGCTCTTTGTCCGTCTTGGTTGGCATCTTTGCCGCGCGCTTCTGAGATGCCACTGAAATTCGCAGAAGTGAAGTACATGATGTTCTGGTTCCATCTGGTGCCACCTTCTCTTGTTGAGTCCTCATCAGTGCCATTGTGGACTGCACTCTGCGAAAAGGCTTGCACCATGACGGAGCCAGCACGAGAGACATCTGGGGCACACGTGAAGGACTACTGAATGTACCATTGACATGCATTGGACACCTCAGGGCTTGGTTTCGACCAAACACGCCTACTGGTCATTTGCTCAGCCCCGGATCAGAACAAGGCCAACGGGACAACTGTAGAATAGTTGATCTAGTTGTGCCGGGCCATCAGATGTCCGAAAAGGTCCTTGGATACTGTTGAAGATGCTGGTTTCTCACAAATATTATATTGCAGGACCGAGGGGCTATGAGGCCAGATCTGTGACGAACGTGGTTGGAAATGTTGGACAGTCATGGACCAAATGCTGGTGTTGGACCTATCGGGCGTTGAGAACTCAATGGAAGCTGTGCTGCATCAAGCCATGCCAGGCAAGAACTGCGGAAGCTGCTGAGTTATTTCCGCATGCCCACCTTCTGTGCAGCTTGCCTCAGTAAGTCCATGTCTAGCAGCACAAGAGCTGAGTTGCAAGAGTTACAAGTCCACCCTTAGGCGCTCATTTTCCAAGGATGGCCCAGGTCTCAGTCAACTCATACAGCAAGCAGAGCAGCAAGGTAGCAAACGGGTGACAGCAGTTTGAGGGATTGTACAGGTATTTCTCTAATGTGACTGATGTCTGACTTGCAGGTTTGGAGGGATTCCCTGGAATGCGATGGGATATGCAACGCTCTTTTACCAAGTCGGAGGACTTGACGATGCCCACGTCTCAGATCTCACGAACACACATGCAGTCCGCTGAAAGATGGTTTCAGCTTCCCCAATACTCCCAGTTCAGAAAGGATACGATGTTGATAGATGTTGATAGACTTATAATATAATATGAATTCATGAAGATCTGCCATTTCAATCCATTTCAATCCCATCTGCCATTCATGGATGCCAAGGCTAAAGCTGCCATCTTGAGTTCAATGGGTCAGGCATCTGGTGCTTTTGGTGGCCTCTTGGGAGGCAGGTCCTTTGAGGGTGGCTCTTTGTAGGCAAACATGGCAAACATCATTGAAACATATTGAAACAGGACATGATATGACATGATGGACATGTACAATTTTTAGGTCATCTAACAGAATCTTACACTTAAATTTAGGTCACCTTAGGTCAGGTAGTGAAGATATCTGGGATGGTGAGTCTCACATATTCTGTATTCTCACGTTTTTTCAGGTCTCATCGGAGATCGGCTTGCTCGCTGTTGTCCACTGCATGGTCGGCCTCTCACTGCGCAGATCTCCGTGCTGCCTGAAGCTTGGTGGCTGATAATTCTTGAAGGTTGATGTAAAATGATGTAAGGTTGGTGTAAGGTTGATGGTCCATCCGTTTACTCAGCTGGAGAGTCCCCCTGCCAATTTCCAGGGCCGGCATTCCAGTCGCATACTTGACCTTCATGATGGATCCACCTGCAGGCCTTCTGGTCTTGTCGTGTCTTGTTGCATTGGTGACTTGAAACAGCCATCCAAGCTTGCTCGGAGGTGAGGCGGCCTTCTTCTACTACATGGGGTTGGCTCCCAGCTGTCGTAAGACTCATGTACAAATGATGAGAAATTAGTGGAACAATTCGATTCTTGATTCATGGAGTCATCTGATCCCAGGCTTGTGACATTTCTGGGCCTGACAGCCACTTGGTGTGCCATTCTTACAGCCAAAGCCGGCTTGAAGTTTTGCAAGATGTCATGCGTTTGAGAGAGCTGCGAGCAACCCGCTTCACATGCGGCTTCGCGGCTTCATGTGTGTGTGTGTGGAACATGTGAATAGATGTAAGACCTCTACTTAAGCAGGGGGTGGATGCATGGTCTGGCAGTCATCCACAAACGAAGACACGGCCTTTCCGTGGTGATATGACGAAGGGACGCCTTTGTCACGTACCTGCTTCATTTTCGGACATGGGATGTGGCCAACCCAAGAACCACCATGCCGTTTCCAAATAACTTGCTTTCAATTTTCTCGATTTGCACGGTTTTCGCGATCTGTCAACTTATGTCATCTAGCACTGGACATGGCGATGGTACCTTGTCAATTTTTCTCGGGTCTCTTCACCGACCCATTCCTGTCAGGTGTAATTGGAGTCTTTTTACACGTAAGATGCATTCCACATCAGAATTCGCAAAGATTGTTCTGAGCAAGTGTGTGATTCATGCTGGATTCGTCACGGTGGCATGAACCCTTCGGGGAATACCTTTCCAGGTAGGAGAGTGAATCCTCGACCTGATCTTTGAATTTACAGTTTTCAACCTAGTAATTCATCTAAGTAAAGTGAAACAGCTGGCCATTTTTCGGTGTCGCCCGTCGATTTGTTAAACAGTGGGCCGCTGTCTTGGGCTTCACCTTTTTCTCTTGATCCTTCGACTTGATCTCTGAATTCACAGTTTCAATCTAGTAATTCGCTTACGGAAGTGAAACAGTTGGCCATTTTTCGGGTCTCACCTGTCGCCTGTCGATGTGTGAAACAGCGGGCCGCAGTAATGGGCTTCACCTTTTACTCAACATGGATTTCCAGGTATCAGGACACGCTTGCAGGTATGGCGACTCTTCTTTTTATGGTCGTTGGTACGGTTCAAATGTGCACGTAATTCGGGGGGTTGACGACGTAAGCTGTCCATGGGGTTGATCTGACCACCGAGGGCCTTGAGCCTTATCACGACTCACGACTCTTGCATGGATTGTGGATGCATCATTTCATTAACTAGTCCCCTATGGGTCCGCTATTTCATGTGTTCTCCTCTCTACAGGTAGGTTGGGTTCTGCGCGTGCTTAGGTAGGCGTAGGTTTCGCTGTGGTAGGTTGGTTTAGGCGCTTCCGTCCTCCCCCCCCCCCGGTCTTGTTCTGTGCCCGTCGGCCTCCGCTTTTCTTTTCCCTTGCCCTTTCAGGGTTTGCCCGCTTTGGGCCAGGTTTGCCTGTGTTGGTGTTTGCTCCTTCCCTCTTCTTTTGCGTTCCCCTCTTCGCCTCCTGGTTAAGTAACTTTCATCTCATTTTCATCTTCACCTCATCTTCATTTCCTTTCAATTTCATTTTCATCTCATTGTCCGGACCTTAATTTTCCCACCCTCCTGCGGGTGTGTGTGTGTATGTGTGGAACATGCGAATAGATGTAAAACCTCTACTTAAGCAGGGGGTGGATGCATGGTCTGGCAGTCATCCACCAACGAAGACACGGCCTTTCCATGGTGATATGACGAAGGGACGCCTTTGTCACGTACCTGCTTCATTTTCGGACATGGGATGTGGCCAACCCAAGAACCACCATGCCGTTTCCAAATAACTTGCTTTCAATTTTCTCGATTTGCACGGTTTTCGCGATCTGTCAACTTATTTCACCTAGCACTGGACATGGCGATGGTACCTTTTCAATTTTTCTCGGGTCTCTTCACCGACCCACTCCTGTCAGGTGTAATTGGAGTGTTTTTGCACGTAAGATGCATTCCACATCAGAATTCGCAAAGATTGTTCTGAGCAAGTGTGTGTGTGTAACATCTGAACAGATGTAAAACTTCTCATGGAATTTTACTCTATTTGCAGGGGGACACAGCATTTCACTGGGACTGTGTCCAACGAAGCTACCAGTGAAATGGGATATCCAGCTTGGCCAGCTGGACGTACCTGCATTTTTTCGTTGCAATTTTGACTGACATGGCACGCGGCCAAGCCTAGAACCGCACAGCTGTATTTTCACTTCACGGTTGTCGCAATCTGGAATTACTGTTGGTCATTTACGATTGGTTCAGTTGCATCAGAACCTTCCTCAGAGCAAGGACGTAGAAAACATACTTGGAACAATCTGTTTACATGATCGCCGACAACATCGTCGCCGACAGTTATTTATTGGCTAACCTTCGCCGAGACATCGCCGATGATATTATTGCTGGTTCATTTATTCTTTTTGGTGTCGATTCTGAACATGAAGACCATTCAGAAGTGCTTCTATTATTCGTAGGATGCATCGTTAATTTCATTGTTTCGTATCTAATCTGCATGTTTCAGGATTCAGTTCCTGCCGGATCATATAATGATCCATTCTTGTCTAGTGTGATTTCCATGGTGGCTCCGACATGGTGCCCTGGAGCCATTGGAGGCAACCCTCTTCAGGGTGAATGATGACTGTCCTGACTTCCGAATTTACACATTTTAATTTGGTAATTCATCTAAGTAAATTGCAACAGCTGGCCTTACTGTTTTCCAGCCTTTTTAGGGTTGTCCCGCTGTTCCTGTTGTCCCAGGGACCCCAGTGCTGCGTTCTTTCAAGGGAAGCCATTCCGAATGTTCTGAAACCTCCGTTTTTTGCAGCAACTTTGCAGCACCGTTGCATCAAATCACGACATATGAATCAGGCAGGCACACGACTTTCAGGTGTGGTCTCTGTTTCTTTTTGGTTGTCTGGTGAGGTTAAACATATTGTGAACCTAATTCGTTGGACTTTGGAAGCTGTTTATGCCCTTGTGGCTGACTGGAACACGGTCCCGGTGCAGGGAACAATTGCACGACATCTAGGAATCTAGGGACTGAATCCTGGTCGTGAATTCTGTTGTGTGACTTTCCATTGTAGTTTCTCTATTTGAGCGATGTACCCGTGGACTACTCCTCCGACGTCTTGGCCTACTCCACCGCAGCCTCCGAATGCTTCTTCGACGTGGCCACCATCAACGCCGCTTGCACATTTGTTTGGACAACCTTCGCCATTGCAACCTACATGGTCTTCTTCGTCCTCACTCATGACGCCTGCTTCAACCACACCATCATTGTCGTTCGCTTCACTCGCCACAGCCCCTCATGCAATACCAACTCCACATCTTGTACCTACAACGACTACACCTTTGATTCCTGACACCACTGTTGTGCACACCGCTCCACAGGCCTTTACTACTCCCACGGCACCAACTGTTCCAACTACATGGCATGCGACTCCAGCTCCATCTCACGCATCGACCACACCACCTACACCTTTGCCGAGCTCACCGTACCCACCTCGTACCCTTCATTCTCCACCACTGGCAGCTACAGCTACAGTTCCTCCAGCCGAACCTCGACATCCTGCAGTCAAGGCCGCCCCGAAGCTTCGATCTGAGAAGAAACCTGACAAACTACGCCGTTCTACTCCAAAAGCTACACCGGCTACACTTCCTGCCACACCGCCGGAACCAACGACAGCATCTTCACCACCCATCTCACCTGAACTTGCAGCGCTGGGCACCACTACACAACACCTTGCCGAATCGGTTCGTCTTCTCCATGCTCAACAACAGATGATCCTTGACCCCCAACGCGCTCAGGAACAACGACAACAACTCCTCAACCAGAGCTTTCCCACAACTGGTCCTACCCTACCGTCACCATCACCGACACCGACACCACCTACGCCAATGCTTCCACCTGCGCCCAAAGCCAGACCTATTGAACCTGAGGCTCCGACTCTCAACGCGGTTTCGACTCCGCCAGTTGCCATCCCACATCCACCAACATCGCCATCACGCCGACCACGATCCAGGACTCGAAGATCACGCTCCCATCGCCCATCTGCACACTCTCATCACCGACCACCTTCCCTTCACCGCACACCTCGTTCTCCTCTTCCTCGACATCGCTCCTCGACCAAACATGACAAAAGCCGTCGAACCCCTTCCCCTTGCGGGCGACGATCACCACCCAGACGACGCTCACCTGCAGATCATCGACGTCACCGGTCTCCTCCTCGACCTCGATCCAGAACTCCTCGCCGCCACTCGCGTGGCCGTGCAATCTTGCGACCAGCCCCACGTCCGACCAATCCAAGCTTCATTCCTACACCTGATGCTGATGTCTCGGGGCGAATGGAACAACAGCCACTACTCTGCAGACCACCATCGCGGCACCGCTCGACCTAGATCCCCTGTTGGACCACCACCACCTGATCCACCATCAAATCCACCAGCAGAAACAACAGCATCAATTGGAGCCGTGTCCTTTCGTTTACCTGACGGTGAAAGTGAAAACTCGGATGCAGCGGAGGCTTTTTCTATTTCCCAATTCGACAAAAATGACATCGAACTCAGTGAACTTGTGGAAGCTGCCAATGATCCACATCGTGTACGATGCCTCACCGAGCTGGACCCCAATCACACAGTACCCCTCCGCACTACACTGAATCAGCCCGAAAAACTCCTCTTCAACAACTTTGTGGATGAGATGTTCACCCAGTTGGCCCAGCCATATCGTACTACCAACAATGACCTTATATTCATCAAAGCGAGCCAAGCTACCGTCATCAACATTGCCAAGGCCTTCGCCCAATCCAGATTACTTGACATCGAGCTGGCAAGGAGAACACGGGCCTTTTATGTGGAACCGGAGAACCTGCTGACCATCACGGTGCCAACGGGATTGCCCAAAAAACCGATCTATCGTAGTGAACACGCAGGCACTTAATTACCTTATCTATCACAAAACGAGTTGGGAATCAGTCGCCAAGATCCTTGCTGAAGACTGCATTCGCCCGGCAACTTGGACAAAAAACGAAGCTGGCTATCCGACTCAATACCCCTGCTACGGATTCTTCGGCATGTCCTCCGAGATCGCTGACATCGATGACCTATCAGGATATGCAGTCAAGTTATGCACATCCCAGCTCTACAAAATTGGCAAAGGACAAAACCCATC